CTTGGCCCCTCATGAAAGGGGATTGGGTTCTGGCTGAGAACAGGGATATTCATCCTCAACAGCAGAACCTCTAGGAGACAACTGACAAATGTGTATTGTTTCACAAAGATAATTTCTTCTGCAGTACCAAAGGGAAAAAAAAAAAAAAATATATATATATATATATAATTAAAAACAAATTGGTTGGGGCAGATTCGGAGCAAAAACGACTGGTCAGACGTGAAATGCCATTTCACGTCTTTGCATTAGGAGCAAACTTTGATGGAGTGGAATCACCACTCTGCTTGAAATTGACTAGCAGTGAGGAGGGAGTTCTACTAGGCTACCCTTTTAAATTGATAGGGATGTCGGCACCAAGCAGAGGCTGGGACAAGAAGAGATGCTCTCACCAGCCAGGCTGTGGCAGTGATTTGCTCACCAGGATGTGAGAGTGTGAGTTGTGTGTACATGCGTGGTGCACGCCCGTGTGTGTGTGTATTCAATTGGTCCTTCAACAATGGCATCTTTTCAGAGGTCTTTGGGGTGTTATGAGAGACTATGGGTACAAGTAATTGATTCTGTGTAACTTGGAAGTGGGCCTATTGTGTTTTGGGAGACTGTGCTCCTGGAAATTGATCTCAGTGCTGAACGCTTTTGAGGTAGAGATGAAGAGAAGCTTGGCATCTGAGCTATTGCAGACTTTTCCTCATTTTCCTTCCAGAGCTATTTATCTTTCACTCGCTCCAGAATACCTATAAGAATACCTATAGTAGATAAGCACTGTTCCGCCTTAGGGACACAATGCCTTGGGCCCCGCCCCCAAGCAGCTCAATGCTAGTGTGTTAATTAGCTTTTTCTGCATAATAGATCATCCCAAAAAGCTTAGTGGCATGAAACAAAAATCATTTATTTTGCTCCCGTTCTTTGAGTCAGCAGTTTGGGCTGGGCTCAATCAGGTGAATGTGGTCAGCTAGGGCTGGCTGGTCAGGCATGGCCTCAGCTGGGACGTTTACCTCTCCTTCGTGGGGTCTTTTATCCTTTGGCATCCAGGTTTGTTCCCATGGCAGCTGGCAGGGCTCCAAGGCAGAGAGCAAAGGCATGCAATACTTTCATTGTGTTCAGTAGGTCAAAACAAGGGACAAGGTCAGCCCAGATTCTAGAGATAGAAAAATAGGCCCCAACTTTTAATGGGAAGAGGTGCAAAGTCACATTGCAAAAGGACTTGATGCTGGGAAAAGTGGAGATTTGTGGCCATTATTGCAATCTGTCTTCCACAGCCAGTGAGTACACACATGTGCATAAGCAATTTAACCACCTTATCCTGAGGTCAAAGATGTAAGTCAGGACCTTCTTAAATCTCAGTGCGACTTGCTATATGTTTTGGGTAAATTGTAGAGAAAGTTTTGTGATAATGGTATTCATTTCATTTTGTTGCTGTTGAAGGAAGGACAGTACTTCAATGCAAAACCTAATGCTCGTTCAGCATGTAGGGTGAAAATTTATGCACACAAAATCTTTGAAGTTCAACCCTATAGAGTACAGGACCTTGAGATTCTGTCCCATATATTCCAAGCGGGGAGGGAGTATTTATCCTGTTCACCAGTGATCCCAAGCTCTAGCACATAGTCAGTTCTCAGTGCGGTCTGTTGAATGAAGGAGTGGGTCAGTGCAGGATTTGAAATGAGAACATAACAGTGCCTGAGCCCTGGGAACCTGTATTTGAATTCTACAAGGCTCGTAAGAATGGTCTAGCCATCTGATGTGTTTTTGTGTGAGGTTTTGTGAACAGGACACAATGGGGTGGAGGATGCCCTGAAATAATCGCTGTGCCGTCCTTTTCTAAGCGTAAAACACACATGCATTTGATATTTATCAGTGATGTTTGCTCTTCATCCACTGTTTCCCTTTTCTGGCTGAGGACACATGTAAAGTGAATGGGCTTACATTGCAGGAGCAGACCGGAAACAATTGTTAAATTTTATCTATAACTCTGTCCATCGTTAAATAAGCAAGATACAGAGTCTTATTCTCTAACAGCCTTTAGAAGTCAGCCAGACACCCACTAATCTAGTTTCAGAGCCCAGGAATGCACCATGTGACACCTCAGCATTCCATCTAGACCTTGGCTCTGGAGCTCTGTGCGTTTTGTTCTTCTGAAGTTGAAAGTTAAGTGGGGGAACCAGTAGGTTTTAATAATTTAACTGTATCTTCCAGTAGGACTTGGCTTTCAAAGACCATTGAGAGAGGGGAAGCCCAAAGGGCTGCTGCTGTCTTCTGAGGACACCAGCTTCTTGAGCTTTCCCGACCGGCTGATGCCCTCTCATTGGACTGTCCTTACATTCTGGTCTCCCAGTTGTGGGGCACTGTTGCTTCTTATTTAGTTGCATTCCGAATACTTTACAGCATCATCTCACGTCTTGGAAGTTTTACAATGAGCAGATTAGTGTTTTAAAAGATGCATTTTTGGGCCAGGCTTGGTGACTCACGCCTGTAATCCCAGCGCTTTGGGAGGCTGAGGCAGGTAGATCACCTGAGGTCAGGAGTTCAAGACCAGCCTGGTCAACATAGTGAAACCCTATCTCTACTAAAAATACAAAAATTAGCCGGGTGTGGTGGCACACGCTTGTAATCCCAGCTACTTGGGAGGCTGAGGCAAGAGAATCGCCTGAACCCGGGAGGTGGAGGTTGCAGTGAGTCAAGATCGTGCCATTGCCACTCCAGCCTGGGCAACAGAGCGAGTCTCAAAAAAAAAAAAAAAAAAAAAAAAGCATTTTTTGAACTTAATTATAAAATACATATAAATCATAAGGCAAAAAAACAATGAATTATTAAGAATAAACACAGACATTTAGGCCTTCAATAGGTGAAGGAATAGAGCATTGTCAGCACCCTAAAAGTCCCATTTGTACCAGGCCCAGTCATCACCCACTTCTCTCCTACCCAAGTGTAACCACCGTCCTGTGTTTCAACATCCATAGATTAATTCTGCCTGTTTTTAAACTTTATGTAAATATAGAATCAACACAGAGTGTGCTCTTTCGTGACTGGCTTAAAATTATGGCCATGCAATTCATCTACGTTGTTGTGGGAAGCAGTGGTTGGTGCATTTGTATTGATGTACAGATTTGCATTGTTTGAGTATATCATAATTGATGCGTAGCTTCTGCAGTTAAGGGGCATTTGGAGTGCTTCCAGTTTTTTACTGTTTATTACGAACATTCTTATATGTGTCTTTTGGTGCCCATATGCACATATGACTGTGAAGTATATATTTAGGAGCGGAACTGCTGTGTCATGGAGCATCCATATGTTCAATGTTAGTAGAAAGGCCCAGTTTTCCATCGTGGTTGTTCCAGTTCACACTCCCACTAACAGGGCTGTACATCCTAGTTAATACTTGATATTGCCAGTGTGTTTAATTTCAGCCATTCCGGTGCTATGTAATGGTATCTCACTATGACTGTAATTAGCATTTCTCTCTTACTAGTGAGGTTGAGCATCTTTCCACATGTTTAATGACTAATTTGACAACTTTTTGGTGATGTGCCAATTCAAGTATCTTGCCAGTTTTTCTATGGTTTGTCTATCTACTTTGTACAGATTTGTGGGAGTTCTTTTTAAATTCTGGATACGAGCCCTTTGGAGGTTATATGTGTAGCAGATATCTTCTGTAACTCTCTGCCTTGCATTTTAACTCTGTGGTAGTTTAAATGAACAGAAGACCTTAATTTTAATGTAATCCAATTATCTGTCCTTGTGCCAATAGCACAGCCTTAAAAGGTAATTCAGTTTTATACTAATTCTTGAAATGTTTTGTGTATGTCTTCCAGCTTTTTCCTTTTTTTTTTTTTTTCAATATTGCCTTATCTATTCTTGGTCCATGGCACTTCCATAAACTTTAGTATTCATTTAATGTCTGAGATTTTTATTAGAATTGTGTTAGATCCATATAGATCAATTTGGACAGAATTGCCAACTTAACCATTCTGAGCCTTCTACTACATGATCATGGTCTATTCCTCCATTCATTTAGGTCTTCCTCTTTTTTTTTGAGACGGAGTTTTGCTCTGTCACCAGACTGGAGTGCAGTGGCACGATCTCGGTTCACTGCAACCTCCGCCTCTCAGGTTCAAGCGATTCTCCTGTCTCAGCCTCCCAAGTAGCTGGGACTACAGGTGCGCTCTACCAGGCCCAGCTAATTTTTGTATTTTTAGTAAAGACAAGGTTTCACCATGTTGGCCAGGATGGTCTCAATCTCTTGACCTCATGATCCACCCACCTCGGCCTCCCAAAGTGCTGGGATTACAGGCGTGAGCCACAGCACCCAGCCTCATTTAGGTCTTCTTTAATTTTGCTCAGCAGTGTCTTGTATCATTCCATGTAGAAGTCTTGCACATCTTTTGTTAGATTTATTCCTATGTGTGTTTTTTGATGTTATTGTAAATGGCATCCTTTTAAATTTTAATTTTCTCTTTATTGACAGTATTTAGAAATACAATTGATGTTTGCATTTACTGTAGACCTCGTATCCCTAATAAGCTTACATGTTTTTGTTATTGCTGTTTTTGTCAGCCAGGCTGGAGTGCAGTGGTGCGATCTTGGCTCACTGCAACCTGCGCCTTCTGGGTTCAAGCAATTCTCATGCCTTACCCTCCTGAATAGCTGGGATATGACACCATGCCTGGCTATTTTTTCGTATTTTATTAGAGATGGGGTTTTGCCATGTTGGCCAGGCTGGTCTTGAACTCTTGGCTTCAAGTGATCCACCTGCCTGGGCCTTCCAAAGTTCTGGGATTACAGGTATGAGCTACCATGCCCGGCCTAAGCTGAGATGTTAATCGTAGTTAATTGTAATGTTCATACATAGATTCTCTGGGTTTATCTATGACACATATCATCCATGAATAATAACAGTATTATTTATTCTGTCCCAGCCCTCATGGTTTTTATTTCCTTTTCTTGTGTTCTGTACCAGCTCTGTGCCTTTGGATCTAACGAGGTTTTTCCCTCTTTTCTTCCAGATGAGGCTGAGGCACACATTGACTATGAAGATAACTTTCCTGATGACAGGTCTGTGTCATTCAGAGAGCTCATGGAGGATTCCCGGACAGAGACAGAAGAGGACAGGAGTCAGGAAGAATCCTCTGAGGAGGCTCCAAAGCAGGACCGTCTGGTCTCTATTTCTGTGGGAAGAGAAAATATAGCCCGGGATAAAGGCTTTGTGCCGACCACAAGCTTGCCTGGAGCCGGGAGCAGCGTCCCCGCAGACTCGCCAGGATCACGGCTGCACCAGAAGCACTTGTTCTGGTTTCCTGCGGAGGCTTTCCACAAGCCTGGGTTGGAAAAGGAGGTAGATGAGGACACCAAAAAGCAGTTTTCTGCTGGAGACAACCACAGTGGTATAAAATTGGTCCCAGGGGAACCTGAAACCAAGGTGATCTATAGCAACACTGATGGTCCCTCAGGGCCATTTGTGGGAAAGAATGATAGCAGGGCAGGGGATCCAGTGGTCAACAGCAGCGATGAGTCCTGGTTAGATGGTTACCCTGTGACAGATGGGGCTTGGAGGAAGACAGAGGCAGAAGAGGAAGAAGACGGGGACAGAGGGGTCGGGTCAGTAGGACTGGATGAAAACATTCCTGTTACTCCTGATCAGCCCGTTCCTGTGGAAGTTAAAAAGCCCTGGATTAGCACCCTCGTACCAAGTGAGGACATGACCCACAGTTCAGTTCTTCCATCTCAAATGCTAGACATGGAAGCTTTGGCGCTCAGACCCATGAATGTGTCTGAGACTGAGAGCAATGGGGATGGTGACTTGACCAAGTACCAGTCAACTCTACCCTGGAGATTCACCACAGAGGAGTCTCCCATGGCCACCCTGCCCTATGAGCTCACCAGCTCTACCCTGGAGATATTAGCAGCCACCACTGTCAAGCAGACGCCTAGCCACATCCCCTCAACGGGCATGGCGACCACTCAGCCTCCAGTAGAAACCACTGCTCCTGAGGTCCAGGACAGCTTCCCATACCTGCTGTCTGAAGACTTCTTGGGACAGGAAGGCCCTGGGCCAGGTTCAAGGGAGGAGCTTCATCCTACCTTGGAGTCGTGTGTGGGGGATGGCTGTCCTGGCCTCACCAGAGGCCCTGTGATCGCCACCGTTGTCACCATCCTGTGCCTGCTGCTACTCCTGGCAGGGGTGGGGGTGGTGTGGGGCTACCGCAGGTGCCAGCACAAGAGCTCTGTGTACAAGCTGAATGTTGGCCAGCGGCAGGCTCGGCACTACCACCAGCAGATTGAGATGGAGAAGGTCTAGGCACCTTTGCAGTGGGCTCTCCCAAAGCCACCTGGGAGGAAAACTAACTGTGGCACATCACACTGATAATTCACTAGAGTATGACACAGGTGGACTGGGGCTCGTCATTTTCCCCTCAGCCCTTTGTTTTATAGGCTGAGAAGTGTCTCTGGAGCACCTGGCAGGGCAGGGAGGCTTTGATGGCACTTTTCCTCATGTTAGTGTCTACTCCACTGCCTGCCCTGGATCGACTATACTAATGTCAGACCTGTGCTTGGGCCCGGTTTCCAGTGTGAGGTCAAAAATTGCCTCTTCCTTCAGCACAGTATTATCTTTTTTTTTTTTTTTGAGACAAAGTCTCATGCTGTCACCCAGGCTGGAGTGCAGTGGCATAATCTGGGCTCACTGCAACCTCTGCCTCCCAGGTCCAAACAATTCTCCTGCTTCAGCCTCCCGAGTACCTGGGATGACAGATGCGTGCCACCATGCCCAGCTAATTTTTTTGTATTTTTAGTAGAGACAGAGTTGCACCATGTTGGCCAGGCTGGTCTCGAACTCCTGACCTCAAGTGATCCGCCCTCCTTAGCCTCCTGAAGTGCTGGGATTCCAGGTGTGCACCACATCCCAATATTACCTTTTTGAAGAAAGAAAATCACTGGCTTCATGCTCTGAAAGTTTATAAATAGTGATAAAGCAAGTGCATGAGAGCAGTATTATTTCAGACATGGCTGTTGAATTATTGAGAAGAATGTGGAAGAATAATGTTTCCTTTTAGTGTCGTGATGTTGCTGAGGGCAGATGAACCAAGAGCCAGGACACAGTCTAGAAGCTTTGAGGTTTCTTTTTCATTGTTTCTTGAAATTAGAGAGAATTTAAGACTGACATTTTGTTGGAGGAAGTGAGGAGTGAAGAAACACACATGCGCCCTATTCCCTCCATTCTGTGGGACAGCCTATCACTTATTTTATTTTCGATCTTTCGTGGTTAAGGATTTGCCATTATTTTTAAAAAACAAAGTTAGCTTTGTACCAGTAAGTACCATTTCCTCTCAGAAGCAGTGAACTAGTTGTCCCTGATCAGTCTGTGCCTAGGAATGTCTTGGAATTTTTGCCAGGACTAACAAAACTCAGTCCTTGGTTTCCTCTCTCAGGATTAACCATTTCTCTGAACTCCAGTAAGAGGGAATGACACGGAGAAAAAAAGAAATGTTTTCAGAGGGCCAAATACCAGGATATCAAGGATGGGCACCTTCTTGATGGAGAAGCAGAAGAATCTGTAAAAGAATATGAAGTGATCTGTGCTAATCTGTTCTCTAGTGTGGAAACTAGGAGCTCTGTGGAAACAGAATCCATCCTGTCTATTGGACAACCCATTTCACAGCATCTAAATCATCTTACGGTGGCTAGCGGCATTGTTTATGACAGTGGTTCTCAAAGTGTGGTCCTCAGACCGGTAGCATAGTGTCACCTGGGAATTTGTTGGAGACACAAATTCTCTAGTCCCACCCTAGACTCAGGAAACAGGAACCCTGGGAGTAGGGCCCAGTTCTCTGTGTGTTTAACAAGCCCTCCAGGTGATTTTGATGGGCACTCAAGTTTGAGAACCTACTGGTTTCTAAGAACCTCAAATGTGAACTTCAAGGCCAGCTGAAGCCCTAGTGGAACAGAAGATGAGTAACACCTGTGGTTCGTCTTATACGGCAGCCGGGCGTGGATGTGCGCAGCTGAGGTGGCACTGGACACTGCCCAAATGCCACCTGCAATCATCTCCTGTATGCTGGCGCAGAAACGAAACATGTTCTATTTTTCTAATACGAATCACCTTCTTGGAAATAGTTATCAGTGGTAAGAGGTGATGTTAGCAATACATTTATTTTGAGACACCATAGGAGTCTGTTTTTGGGTGGTAGAGAGAAATCCTGGTCTTTTTTTATGATTGAAAAATTGTCAGTGGTGTTTTACCTAAGGAAAAAAGAATTCACAACATGTTTTCCACCCTGCCACCTCTTTTCAGCAAGCTTTGGGAAAATAATAGGCGAAGCAGCTGTCAAGAGAGGCAGCATAATCAAAGATCTTAGTCCTCACAGTTGAGCAAAGTAAAGCCTGAAGGTACAAGTGGAAGGCCAATACGCCAACGAGTCACGAACAATGGGAATAAGATGCTTCCTGCATGTAGCCAAAGCAAAACCTAATAGAATAAAAGCCAGAGACTGTATATATTTACAAATTAGATCCTAATCTACTGCAAGATAACTTTTCTATTTTTAACGATATAAAATAACCTCTGTCTCAGCGTTGGGATTGCGTTAGTAACTATTATTATGGAATAACCCAGAACATTGAATTTATACCAACAAATAGGCAATATTAATACCAGTGTATTAATAAATTACAAATTATTAATACATGAAAATGTTTTATTTGTAGACCTGAACTGTGAAATAAACCCAGCACATCAGTTTTTAAGTTCTTATTGGTGTGGTGTCATCTAAATTAATGTTATAGAATCTAAAAACGCATGTTGAAAGGGAATGATTAAAACACTGTAAATCGAAATTGTATGTCATGCCTGTTTTGAGACTGGTGAATGTTTAATGCTCATGAAAATTGGGGGAGGGGGTTCTATTAACACAAAGCTTCTGAGATATTTAAAATAAATAATTATTGCCCCAACAGTTGCTGAATGTATTTTATTTCTAGGCTCCTGCACTATGGTTTTTTTAATTTAAAAAAAAAAAAAACACACCTTGCTGGGCACAGTGGCTCACACTGGTAATCCCGGCACTTTGGGAGGCTGAGGCAGACACATCACTTGAGGTCAGGAGTTAAGAGACCAGCCTCACCAACATGGTAAAACCCTGTCTCTACTAAAAATACAAAAAGTAGCCAGGTGTGGTGGTGCACGCTTGTAGTCCCAGCTGCTCCGGAGGTTCGGGCAGAAAAATTCTTGAACCTAGGAGGCAGAGGTTGCAGTGAGCTGAGATCCCACCACTGCACTCCAGCCTGGGCGACATAGCAAGGCTCCATCTCAAAAAAAAAAAAAAAGCTCTAGTAATCTTGAAAATAATGTCTTAATACTTGCTATATCTAAGATGTAAGACTGCCCTCTCTAAACCTCTCAGCTCTGCTACCTCCTGCAGCAGGATTGTAGGGAAGTCTGTGGCGCGCTCGCCCCTCCTCCCTCTCTCCTTCCCTCTTCCTTGCCCCAACCAGAGACCACTCACTTCACTATGATGAAACACCCAGGACCTCGCTATTCAAAGCATGGCTCCTGCTCCAGCAGCACAGACACTGCAAGCTTGTTGGAAATGCAGAATCTCAGGTCCTGTCCAAGAACTGCTGATTCAGGATCTGCATCTAACAGGACACCCAGGTGGCGGGCATGAATGGTAAGGCTTGGGAAGCACTGGCCTGAGAGAGAACTGATTATCCCCTTTCTCCCAACTCATAGGACACGCAAAGGAGTAACTGGAGGGTTAGCTGAAGGGACTGTCCACAAAGGTGTGGGAAGAGTGAGGGGAACCATCAGGGGATGGTGAGGTCCTGTTAGGAACCCAGCAGGAGCTCAGCAATAGGAAAGGCCTGCAGGACAAAGGCTCTGCCTCCAGGAGGATGCTGCCAATGTCCAACTGTGGCTTGGAGAAAGCAAAGGTTTTAAGGACCCAGACCTTGTCTCACCCTGCCATCTCTTGCTGGCATGTCCCAGTGACAACTGGAAGTCAGAGGGTGAAGAAACTCAGGCAATGGAACCAGAGGTCAGGCTCCTGGGACACCGGGCACGTTGGCGGGGCACATTGGAAGAGATGTGGAGCGGCAACTAGCAAAATCCAGCTCAGACACCGTCAGCACCAATCCCATCTGCCTTATGTCCATTTTCACCTCCACGACCACTGCAGATCCTCGCCAAGCCTTCCAGTGTTGTGGGCATTGTTGATGCCCTTCCAGATCCCCTTTCCTAGGCAGGTGAACCCATCTTCCAGCGGCCCTGAGCGCTGGCTGCTAAAATGCTCATAAGCACACAAGTGTACCTTTCCGACGCAGAGAACTGCCCTTGGCCTAATGTCAGTTCTCTCATCCAGGAAGTCAGACCACCTTCCACCCTGCTAGGGCAGCCTATAACCAAGGACCAGCTGGCATGGGGATGCAAAAGGCTGACCTCCTTGCCTCAAGGCAGGACCAACTCTGACGTGATTCATGCTCCAGCGCTCCCATGAGATCAGGCTGAAGCTGGTCTTCAACTGAAGACACATCTTTGCTACCTCCTTCCTGCTCCCCTCACACCCCTTCTCTTGAAAGCACCCCATCACTTCCCTTGTTTCAAAGGATCCTGACCTAAGACATCCATCAACACTTAACTCTTACTCCCTCCACCCTTTCTCCTAAGTCCAGAATTTTTCACTGTGTCCTCTGGAATTCTTGGGCTGATCTCCGCATGCTCTAGTTCTTCCTCAGAGAGCTGTTTGAACCCTCCATGGCGTGGGCCCGTTTGTGTGCTGGCTGGTTCATCAGTCTTTCCACCTGCCTCCGTCTGCTCTTTCTCCTGCCTGCCCATTAGCAGCATGCATGGAGCATGACTGCTGTTGACAGTCATCCCTGAAGATGCTTTGGGTCCTTGTTTGAAACAGATTCCAAATGTTTTTCCTAGTGGGATCCCAGATCTCCTCTGAAAGACAATCCTCCTGGGGAAAGGCATGAGCCTTTACTGTCTGATGGGATCTCAGCCAGCTCTTGGCTCACGGCTAGCAAGGACCACTCCTCCTGCGTGAGACTTTGTTAGATGAATGTCAGAAATGTCACAGACCTGAGAAAACAGTGCTCATTACAACATAGGTTCTAGAATGTGGTTAAGACATCCCTGTCCAGTGGATAGAATAGTAAATAGAAAGTAAGCAAAGTAAAACATTTAATGTGATGTTAAAAAAAAAAAAAGCTTTTGGTTTCAGCTATTTTCTGAGTTCTAATTTTCAACAACAGTGAGACAGTACATACCATCCTAACCCAACAGGGGAGGCAGAAAAAGACATCAGCAATGGTATTTGGAGTTCGGCCTACCAACTGCCACCCTACAGTGGGAAACACAACTCTGGAATCTACCTTGTGTCTGTTGGCCAAACTGCTTAATTCCTCCCTGCTTTCTTCTTATAAAACGAGGCACTAATATCTTACCAGCTCTAAGACGATATACAGCCAACGCACTCATTCATTCCACCAGCAACGAAAGCCACCTATTTGTGCGGGGACAGTGTCAGGTACCAGGATATGTCACTGTTCACGTGCTGGCCCTAGATGGAAACCACTCTAAGGATAACTGTGGCTGCTCCTGATTCTTATTTCTGGGATAGGTGTGGCTGAGTCAAGGCAAAGCCAGGCTGTCGTGGTGTCCTCTCTTTCAGGGAGATGACATGGGGACAGGCCTGGGGATCAGTCTTGCCCCTGGCTGCAGGCACAGGAAGTCCAATGCATAAAACTTTTGGCTGAGGCTTACTTAAGGTTCCTAGCCTTTTTTTCCTTCTCTCCCTTGTACATAGTTTAAACTCTCCACACTAGGTCATTCAGGCCTGGAGTCACCAGAAAAAAAGAAGTCACTGTTTCTGGGATGGCAGACGATCAAGAGTTCCGACAGCTGCGATGAAGGATTAGTTGTGGGTTTTTCTCAGTGCCTTGCTACAAACTGTGTTGCAGTTCCATGTTCCGACGCTATTAAATAATGTTTTCTCTGGCACCGGTCCACCTTTTCCCTACAGTTTAAGTATTGATTTTTTTTTTAACTGAAGTAGCTTCGGTTTACAGCTCACATTTAAAACTTAGAAACGTTATTTCCATGAATGTTGGCAGAAAGTGGCCACTGTTGATTTCACCAGCAGTCATAATAAACTCCTTCCCACTGACAATCTAACAAATCATTTTCTGTTTGCCACTGAGTTGGGTCCAATAAAATTTTTGTGCTCTTAAAATTCCCCTAATAAGAACTCCAGAAAGCACACATTTCCTTCCTAAGGCAGCCCTTGCAGTCGGGGCTCGCAGTGGCTCTCTTTCTGGATTCCAGAGGTGAGCACAACAGGTTGGTTGTAGTAATTAGAAAGTCTCGAAAATCAGGAAGGAATCAGCATGCTGCATACGTCGGTATGTGCTCGTTTCGGCCAATCCGTCACTTTTAAACACGTGTGTGCACACAAACCTCCCCTCAGCCCTTCACTTCTCCACAAGTCAAGCGTGACCAGAAGCAATGGCCACGAGGAGTCTCTTTAGACCCTTCCCAGTGGGTGCCTCCTGCTTGGATGCCCTGAGTGGCAATGGGGCTGGACAGATGCCCCACCATGATGGGCAGCCTCCCCACCAGCCTGCAGAACCAAACAGTGACCACTGAGCTCCATGCTGGTGGGTCAGAGGACAAGCGAGCATCTTCGGGCAGGCCTGGAAGCTCCCGCAAAGCGTACAAATGGGTTTGTTTTTTTCAAGACAGGCCAGACTGAGGCTGAACCAACAGGCTCTCAATCCAGGAATCTTGTAGGCTTTTCCAAGAAACACACTCCGGGAGGCACCGGGTTGTGAGCACAGCCTGCACATGAGGGTTTCACGGCAGGTTTGGAAGAACCAGCCCACTTTTTTTTTTTTAAGGTTAGTTTGGTTTCCTTTGAAATAAAAATTTTGGTAACTCAGCTCCACAGCCTTCAATCAAAGCAAAGTACTGACAATACTGACTATACTACCACCGGGGTCCTGGAGGGACATCGCAAGGGTAGGGACGGAGGTGCTTTTCAATCCCCAGTGAAAGGAGGCCACGTTCAGAGAGTGAACGAGGACCCCCCACCATGCCAACTCAACCCATAGGCAGAACAACGTCATGTACACAAAGCTCACCCCAGGCTCACAATCCGAGGACCCAACGGGACCTCTGCAGGGCACAGAGGTGGAGTGAGTCACAACAGCCAGCCCATCCTGGCTCCCTGCAGCGTCAGCTTTCATTTTCTCATGCAGCTGGGAAGGACACCGCAGCCCGGGGCTCTAAGGGGAGTTCACGGCTGCCGGGCACGCTATTTACAGACTCAGGAATCCCGGAGCAGGGCGTCCATTCACTGGGTCCCCCATTACTTTCTAGTGCTATCTCATCATCTCTTCCCCACTGAGTTCAAAAGGAAGTTTGGTGGAGTAGAGGGTGGGGTGAGGAAGGAGGGCCCAGCATCCCATGGGCAAAGGCCATCTCCCCCAGCAGGAAGCCACATAAGGTCTGACGCATTGCTGGGACTGGGAGGCTGCTATGGACATGGTGCCTCCACCAGTAATAACACTGACACCGCCCCGCCACCGGAGTACAGACTGTGGACGTGGGCCACTTCAGCCCAAGACAGAAGTGGTAGGGGACTGTCCTGGGTGGGGTACCCTCAAAGGAGAACCTGACACAGGGATTCTTGTGCAGGTGAATGAGGATGTGGTGTCAGGAGGGATGAGGGAAGCAGGATAGAGCTGAAAGAGAAACAGAAGGATGTGCCCGAGTTCTCCTGATAGTACAGTGTTCCGGGGGATAAGGGAAGCCCAGAAAACACAGGACATATGAGTGTTCCACCCCAGTTCACCACCACTACACAAAAACGCACTCTATCCTTTAATCCCTCCCAGGCGATTGTAGGAAAAGCCTTGTTTCCCAAATGCTGTGTTTTTCCCCTCTTGCCTTCGCCCCTGGAGGGGCCCAACTACACAACTGGCTTATTTGGAGAAGGGAATGAGGTTGAATACAGAAAGCTCAGCTTCCAGAACACCATACCCTCCTGGCTTTCTCTGACCTTAAGATAACTCCTTCTCAGTCTCTGGCTGACTTCCCATTTCCCAGAGAGCCCAAGGACTCCGTCCATAGCTCTTTTCTGCTGCTTCTCAGTAATATCGGAGACAATCTCAGCGGCCCCCTCCAGCTGCATGGCTTTAAATGTCACTGACATGCTGAGGTGCCCTGCTGGATCCCTTCATAGAGCCAGTTCCCAGGACCCCTCGCCCCCCAGTACACTATCATGCATGGTGGCTGCCAGATGCTTCCAGTCTCTTCTCCAGAGAACTACCCTCGGCGGAAGCCACGTGCCTTCAAATGTACCCGCACTCCCACAGAACTTCTCACAGCCAATAAAGGACTGATAGAGGCTTTCACAGGGTCCTTCTGAGAGTACCCCCCACAATAAAGCAAGCGCATTCAGATCCTCGTCATGGGCTCTGCTGCAGACCTGACCTGAGAAAACTCTCCACTTGGATGTGCAGCCTGAAGCTCCCACCCCAACCACAGACAGCCCGCTTTGCACCACATTCCTTACTCGCCCAGCCCGTCCTTCCCTGTGTCAGTAAATGGTAATTCCATCTTTCCTGTTCTTCAGGCCACAAACCTTAATGTCACCAAGAACTCTTCTTTCTCTTCCACTCCACATTCAACCTCTCCGCAAATCCCATTGGCTCTGCTTTTAAAATAAATCTAGCTAAGTGACCACTGCCGCTGCTGTGGACCGAGCCCAAGACTGGAATCTCACGGAAGCTTCCTAGCAGGTCTTCCCTCTGACTTCTGCCCTTGTCCACTCAGGTTTTTCACAGTATGGCAGCTAGAATGACCCTTGCAAAATATAAATCAATCAAGGCACTCCTCTGTTCAAATTCCCCAGTGGCCCTTATATCACTCAGCAGAAGCCAGGTCAAGGCCCTCCACCATCTGACCTCCTCCCCAGCCCTCTCTCCTTCCATTCTCCTCTGCCCACACCCCTGCTCAGCCTCCCTGCTCTTCCCTGACCATGCAAGCAGGTTCTCGCTTTGGGGCACCGCACATGCTGTTCCTCTGCCTGGACTGCCTTGCCAGGACCACTTCTCTAGCATCTCTGCTCCAATGTCACATTCCCAGTGAGGCCTTCCCTGAACACTCCATTTAAAACTGCAGCCTCATGGCCAGGATTCCATGCCCTGCCCCTGCCACTGCTTTACTTTTCTCCATAGCAATTATCACTATATGATACATCGTATATATTTACATATATATATAAATATATATATTTATTTGTATATATTTATTCCTATGTATTGGTTTTCTCTTTCTCCCTGTAGAACGTAAGCTCCATGAGCACAGGGAACTTTCCCTGTTATTCTGTGAAGTATCTCTAGTGCCCAGGTCAATGCCTAGCACATAGTAGGTACTCAATAAATATTTACTGAAAGAATGAATGAAACTAGACAGTTCTGGCTTTCTTCCTTTTCCAACGTAGAGCCTTATAACTAAGCATTGTCCTCACATCAGCTCAGCCAACTGTTGTGATTTTGGAGACGTTAAAGCGTTGGGTAAAAGCCGCATTGCTGTACTCTACACTATCCAACTTGTTTTTCAGGGGATGCTAGAGCTGGTACAAGTCAGACCACGTGAAGGCCATCATGAGGCTGGAGAAGTTTGGCCTTTGTCTTCCCCTCTCTTTCCTGGATGGGGAGAAAGGAGACTAAAATCTGGAAGAGCAAAGAAGCCAAAGGAGGTTTTCACAGTTACCATCTTTTAGGAATTTTTTCTTATTTAAAAAATAATACTGATTTTCTGGGAAAAAAAAAAGAAAAGTCAGGGAAGACTGTCCTTCAAACCAAAATGGTGAGAAAGGCAGGCATGAGCATGGGAAAGACAAGTGTGAACATGAGGAAGACAGGGGTGAAGGTGTGAAAACAGACGTGAGGATAAGACAGGTGTAAAGGTAAGAAAGAGGCTGGCACTGTGGCTCACGCCTATAATCCCAGCACTGTGGGAGGCCAAGGCAGGTGGATCACCTGGGTCAAGAGTTCAAGACCAGCCTGGCCAACATGGCAAAACCCCGTCTCTACTAAAAATATAAAATTAGCCAGGCATAATGGTGGGCGCCTGTAATCCCAGATACCTGGGAGGCTAGGCAGGAGAAGCGCTTGAACCTGGGAGGCGGAGGCTGCAGTAAGATGAGCTCGCACCACTGCACTCCAGCCTGGGCAACACAGCAAGACTCCGTCTCAAAAAAAAAAAAAGGTGAGAAAGATAGGTGTGAACACGAGGTGGCAGGTGTGAAGACGGGAAAGGCAGGCTCACCCCGGTGACATGTAGTGAGAGAGATGGGGGCTTCCCTCTCACTTCAGAGAGTAAAGGGAAGGCTCTGCGGTATCAACAACCTTGGCTGTTGGGAAAAGGACAAAGAATCTGTGTGTCCTGAACATCGCGAGGAAGTCTCTTCGGTTGCTGTGGGCTAGCTGGTCTCCTCCAGTTCCAAGAGATCGTCCACATACTCCACAACTTCTCCCTGTAAGAGACAACAGGACAACTCTGCTAAATGGGCTGCTGGACTTTTAAAAGTGCTGATGGGCAGGAACCGTATCCCAAGAGGCCACTGCCACTGTCTGCTCTGGCTGAAACAGATTTTCTCTGGGACCCAGAGGACCCGATTTCTCCCTGTGGAGGGGACCTCAGCTTCCACTCCATTTGAACTTGGTATCAAGTGCTTGGCGAGACCTGCCAACAGACCGTGTGAAGCAGACAGCCCAGCCCCACTGTGGACGGTTCTACCAAGTGGCCCTCCTGTGCGCACCTCGGCCCACTCCCCTGCCTCCCCTCTCATGAGCACGTCTCCCACAGGTACACTTTCTGCCTGTTCCCTTTCTGCCCTGACCACCAGACCACAAGCTTCTCAAGGACCAGGGCCTGGGTTGAGTTTTCTTCCCCAGAGCCCAGCACACAGAAGGTGCTCAATAAATGTGTTGAAGGACGCATGGCTGAGTGCTGCATGCATATTGCTAGTGTGACTGAAGCAATCACTCCTCTTACAGGAGAGATGCATGGTGACAGTGGGATTCACCTGCCCAGTGATGGTACCGGGAGCCCACCTGCTCCCTCCTTCTGCAGTCAGCCTTACACTTCAACTTGAAGCAGCCCAGGACCCTTCCCAATTTCTTTCTCTGCACTGACTTCTCTCCTACAACCCTCCTGGACCACTAGCTGATGACACCCATTCTCTTTTCTGCAGAGAATGAATGAATGACCAAGGCTGAGGCCCCTTCCATAAGAGTCAGCACAGACCCGCCCCACCACCCCTGCTAAAGCTTGACCTCCTTCACTGAGCTCACCATCCCAGGCCAAGAGCCTGTTTGCTCTGTTTGATGTTTGAACACAGAGAAATTTATAAAAATCTCAGCATTTGAGAAGAACTGGAAAACCTATCAAGTACACGAGACACAAATGGGGGTCTTCGTATGATCATCAAATACTTCTACTGTGTCATGCCTGGGATTAGAAACTCAAATTGTGGGAGAACACTGCAGTTTGGAAAAAGTGTTCCTTCAGTTGCTTTCTAGATCCCAGAAGGAAAACATGGCATAGCAGAGGGATGACGTGTATAGCCATGACTTCATGACTTCTGTTAGGGAGTTACCATATCCTGCTGTGTGTCTGTTGTGACTTGTGGGATGATGGTATTGTTTGCTTTTAGCTCACTACTAATAAGTGCCCGAGGCAGCACAGATGAAAGAAATGCACCCCCCGCATGGCTGTTGTTGTGAACGCTGCTGGGGCCTCGCTCAGATCTCCATCCCAGTGCCCCCATCCCCAACTCCTGCATGCTAATGGCCAGCAGCTGCTCCGTTCTCTGGGCAATTACCTTTGGCTAAAAATAACAACAACAAGAGCAGCAGCAGTCTTGCCAGGGAGGTTACACACCAGCCTTTCCTGGCAACGAAGAACAAATGACAGACTGCTAAGGACAACCAGAAAAGGCAGGAACAACTCCATGATGCAACTCATGTTCCAGGGTCCCCTGCAGGAGCAGGCGAAGCTGGACTCCAGCGGAGACCACATATTTGTTGAGCTCCTTCCTCTGCCCCTCACTCCACCCCTACCTGAGAGCAGTCCCTCAATAAATCATTCCAACAAATTCTAATTCTTTTGGACTTCCCTGAAGCAAACAACCATCAGAACCCGAAACTTGAAGCATCTATTTCAGCCTGTTTTTAAAAGTTTCTGAAACGGTAACAAACCTCTGCAAAATTTTGAACCAGTGTGTAGACTTTCAGGAGTGCTTATACACATTCCAACGCCAGAAAGACAATGAGGAAGAACGCCACACATAGTGGCCGCTCAAGTGGACTGATGCTGTGTTTCAAAGTCGAATTACGTCCTTTGGAAAATGGAAGGATTAAACGAAGAATTTTATGATTTTGGTTATATTTTCATTTCAAAGTATTACTTGCCATAATTTGGTATATAGTAAGAAAATGGTTCATTCTTTAGAGATGGATTAGTTCTTTCACAATTGTAAAGCCTCAATTAATAAGCAAACTACTCCAGAACCTTCAACAAAGTCCTTTTATCTTGAAAGTGCCAAGTCCAAGAATCCCAGGAATTTTAAAGCCTGCAGTAAGCTTGGTGTGTTCATTGGATGATTACTAACCTTCTGTGTGACTATGAGCAAGCCACTCTATCTTTCTGAGTTTTGAGTTTGTTGCCTTATCTGTGACATGAGAGTTTTACTGAATCTTGTCAAAAATCTCTTCATGTTCTAATACCCAGGATTTTCTTTCTACATATGTCGTTCTTGAACATCAGAAGTCTTCAAAATGTTCACAGCTTTAGACCAGGAATTTCACAACTGGGAATTTTTCCTAAGAACATTATTAGAGAAGAAGTAAACAATTTAGTCCCTGCTGTGCTATTTGTAAAAGCGAAAAGCTGGAAGCCAACTGAAGGCCTACAAAAAGGCTATAATCCTAAACAATCTGTATCACGTAATATTAGCCACTAAAAAGTCATGTTTATAATGCATGTTAACTCACGAGGGAAACAAAAATCATGGGACCATCTCAACAGATGCAGAAAAAGCATTTGATGAAATTCAACACAACTTCATGATAAAAAAAAACATTCAACAAATTAGAAATAGAACTTCCTCAACCTGATAAGGGGTACCTACAAAAAACCCACAGCTAATACCGTATTCTCACATTTAACGCTAAAGGACTGTATGCTTTTTCCTTTTAAGATTGGGAACAGGCCGGGCACGGTGGCTCATGTTTATCATCCCAGCACTTTGGGAGGCCGAGAAGGGCGGATCACCTGAGGTCAGCAGTTCGAGACCAACCTGGCCAATGTGGTGAAACCCCACCTCTAAAATAAAAAAATAAAAAAACTGGACACAAGACAAGCATGCTCACTCTCTCCACTTCCTTTTTTTTTTTTTTTTTTCCTCCAGAGAGACAGGGTCTCACTCTGTCACCTAGTCTGGAGTGCAATGGCATGCTCATGGCTCACTGTACCCTCCAACTCCTGGGCTCCAGAAATCCTCCCACGTTAGCTTCCCGAGTAGCTAGGACTATAGATGTGCATCATCATATTTAGCTAATTTTTTTTTAGACAGGCTCTCACTGTGTCACCCAGGCTAGAGGGCAGTGGTGTGATCTCGGCTCACTGCAACCGCCACCTCCTGGGTACAAGCGATTCTTGTGCCACAGCCTCATGAGTAGCTGGGATTACAGGCATGTGCCACCACACCCAGCTAATTTTTTTGTATTTTTAGTAGAGACAAGGTTTTGCCCGGTTGTCCAGGCTGATCTGAAACTCCCAATCTCAGGTGATCTGCCCACCTCAGCTTCCCAAAGTGCTGGGATTACAGGCATGAGCCACCACGCCTGGCCTTATTTTTTTATTTTTTGTAGAGATGGGGTCTTGCTATGTTGCCCAGGCTGGTCTCAAACTCCTGGGCTCAAGTGATCCTTCCACCTCAGCCTCCCAAAGTGCTGGAATTACAGGCATGAACCCCTGTGCCAGGCCCACTCTCTCTCCTTCTATTCAATATAGTACTAGAGGTTTTAACTAGAACAATTAGGCAAGAAAAATAATATACACACACACACACACAAATATGTAAGTTCATATACAAAATCTTTTGTATTTCTCTATTGTTTCAGAATATGACCAAAAATGAAAATATAAAAACAATTTCATTTATAATAGCATTAAAAAGAATAAAATGCTTGAAAACTGGGGGTTAGAATTTATTTTAACTTTTTAAAAAAAGAATAGAATGTTTAACAATAACAAAATAAGAAAACACTGTGAAAGGAATTAAAGAAAATCCAAATAAGTGAAAAGACTTCTCAGGTTCACGGATCAGAAGACAATATTAAGGTGCCAATGCTACCCAAAGAGATATAGGAGTTCAGTGGGATTCCTATAAAAAAAATCCAGCTGCCTTTTGCAAAAACTGAAAAGCTGAACCTATAATTCATATGGAAATATAAAGGACCCAAAATAGCCAAAATACTCTTGGAAAAGAAGAACAATGTTGGAGGACTCACACTTCAAATTTCAAAATGAAGCTACAGTAATCTGATCTTGGTCCAAAGTCCATGTAATTTATTAAAAAAAAAAAAAAAGATACAGTAATGAAGGCAGCGTAGTACTAACCCAAGGACATAAAGCTACATGAGCGGTAGAGACTGAGAGTCCAGGAAAAACCTTCACATTTATGCTCAATTGACTTCTTTCAGGAGCACCAAGACATTTCAATGGTGAAAAGTGTTTTCAACAAATAATGCTGTAACAACTGGATAGTCACATTCAAGACAATGAAACTAGACCTCTTCCTCACATCAGACATAAAAATAACTCCAAATGGGTTGTAAATTTAAATGCAGGAGTTAAAACTACTAAAATTATAGGAGTAAAAATCAGGAGTAAATCTCTGTGACCTTGGATTAGGCAATGGCTTCTCAGATAGGACACGCAAAACAAAAGCCACAAAAGAAAAACTAGATAAATTATGTTTCATCGAATTTGAAAACTTGTGCTTCAAGACACCATTTAGAAAGTGGAAAGACAGCCGGGCACGGTGGCTCACGCCTGTAATCCCAGCACTGTGGGAGGCCAAGGCGGGTGATCACGAGGTCAAGAGATCGAGACCATCCTGGTCAACATGGTGAAACCCCGTCTCTACTAAAAAAATACAAAAAATTAGCTGGGCATGGTGGCGCGTGCCTGTAATCCCAGTGACTCAGAAGGCTGAGGCAGGAGAATTGCCTGAACCCAGGAGGCACAGGGTGCGGTGAGCCGAGATCGCGCCATTGCACTCCAGCCTGGGTAACAAGAGCGAAACTCCGTCTCAAAAAAAAAAAAAAAAAAAAAGTGGAAAGACAACCCATGGGTTGTGAGAAAATATCTACAACTCATGTATCTGAGAAGGAGCTTACAACTAGAATATCTAAAGAACTTCTACAACACAATAATAAAAAGATAAGCAACAATTTTAAAGTGGACAAAGGATTTGAATAGACGTTTCTTCAAAGGTACACAAATGCGCAATAGGCACATGGAAGGGTGCTCAGCATCGTTAGTCATTAAGAAAGTGCGAGTCAGACCCACAATGAAATACTACTTCACATCCACTAGCATGGCTATTCATAAAAAAGACAACATGGCGGGCACAGTGGCTCACGCCTGTAATCCCAGCACTTTGGGAGGCAGAGGTGGGCGGATCACAAGGTCAAGAGTTCGATACCAGCCTGGCCAATATGGTGAAACCCCATCTCTACTAAAAATACAAAAATTAGCTAGGTGTGGTCGCAGGTGCCTGTAATCTCAGCTACTTGGGAGGCTGAGGCAGGAGAATGAATGACTTGAACCCGGGAGGTGGAGGTTGCAGTGAGCCGAGATCGCGCCACTGTACTCCAGCCTGGGCAACTAGAGCCAGACTCCATCTCAAAAAAAAAAAAAAAAAGACAATATTAAGTTTTCTGTTACAAATTTGGAACTCTCAGACACTGCTGATAGGAATCTAAATGGTGCAGCCACTTTGAAAAACAGTCTGGCAGTTTCTCAACAGGTTAAACAGTTACCACATGAGCCAGCAATTCCAGTCCTAGGTATGTACCTGATATGGTTTGGATATTTGTCCCCTCCGAATCTCATGGTAAATTGTAATCCCCAATGTTGGGAGTGGGCCCTGGTGGAAGGTGTTTGCATCATGGGGGCAGATTCCTCACAAATGACTTGGTGCTGTCCTCACGATAATAAGTGAGTTCTCACTCTGAGTTCACAAGAGATCTGGTTGTTTAAGAGTGTGGCACCGCTCTTGCCATGTGACATTTGCCAGTTCCCCCTTTGCCACGACCATAAGCTTCCTGAGACCTCACCAGAGGCCAAGCAGATGCTGGCGCCACACTTCCCGTGCCCAGGTAATTTTTAAATTTGCCAGAGAGACAGTCTCACTGTTACTCAGGCTGGTCTTGAACTCCTGGGCTCAAGCAATCCTCCTGCCTTGGCCTCCCAAAGTGCTGGGATTACAGGCATGAGCCACCACACCCAGCCCGGTATTTCTTTACAGTGATACAAAAACAGCCTACACTATACCTATGTATACACTTCTATGTATAAAAAACTGGAAAGCTTATGTCCAAACAAAAACTTGTATACAAATGGTCACGGCATCATTATTCAAAACAGCCAAGAAGTGGAAACAACCCAAACATCCAGCAATTGAAGAACGGATAAACAGAATGTAGTATAACCATACAGAAGAATATGACTTGGTAGTACAAAGTAATAACACAGGTAACACGTTCAACATGGTTGAATTTGAAAACATATGCTCAGTGAAAGAAGCCCCAGTCACAAAAAAACCACATACCACGATTCCTTTTATGTGAAATGTCCACAACACGCAAATCCACAGAAATGCAAAGTAGATTAGAGTGTTCCAGGGGCTGGAAGTGGAGGCAGGAGTGGGAACGTTGGCCCAGAGGAGAGACGGGAGGGGCTTAGCTATGGAGTTTCTTTCGGGGCTGATAAAAATGTTCTGAAGTTAAATAATAATGATGGATGCACAATTTTGTGGATATACTAAGTACCACTGAATTGTACACCTTAAAAAGGAGAATGGTATTGTATGTGAATAATAGCTAAATAAAGCTGTTTTAGAAAAATATAACAAGAGAAACTGCTCATATCAAGTGAAAAAGTCATGAGATACAATTACAGCTGAGCTTACAATGAATATATATTAAAACGGACAAATGTAAAACTTTATAAAACTTTTTTCTATAATAATAAAAAAATGGAAAGATATATACCAACATATCCATAGTAGCTTCTAGATGACTAGGAACTCAACTCCCCCTTTTTTTTTGAGACAGGGTCTTACTCCAATTGCTAAGGCTGGAGGGCAGTAGCCCAATATCAGCCTCAACTTCCCCAGACTCAGGTGATTCTCCCACTTCAGCCTCCCAAGTAGCTGGGACTGCAGGTGCACTCCACCATGCTTGGCTAATTTTTTTTTTTTTTGTATTTTTTTGTAGAGATGGGGTTTCGCCATGTTGTCTAGGCTGGTCTTGAACTCCCAAACTCAAGCAATCCACCTGCTTTGACCTCCCAAATGCTGAGATTACAGGCATGAGCCACCATGCCCAGCCTTTGCCGTACTTTCCAAACCACAGTGGCCAACCTTGTTGGTATCTGGCTGGTGTTCCTTCCTTTATGGAATGGCCCCTGTGGCATCTTGGGATCCTGTCTCGGGCTCTGCTTCAAGGATACCCAAACCAAGACACACGCTTGTGCATCACTTTCGAGTTTATAAAGCATTTCCACATGCAGCAGAGTATTTTATCCTCACAACCCTGGGAAGGCACTATTACTATTCCCATTTTACAGACAAAGAACTGAGACTCAGTTGTGTAATGCCAGTGATGAGTTCATCCATACATATTTGTAGACAGAAAAGAAATCCCGTGAAGATGTCTTATTCAGAGGTACTTCCCCTAAGACGAGAGTTTAGGAAGAGCAGGCCTGGAGGCTCAGGAGACTTGCTGGCTCCATACTCCTCATCTATATAGCGAGGGCTCAGACCAGAGCACGCTCACAGCTCTCTTCGAGCTCCGATAGCTGTCAAATCCCTGGCTTTCTCAGTAAGCATTTGCCAGTGTGCTCCAAACACATCTCTCTAAATACAACCGCTAATGATGGCTTTTCTGTGACCAGGCTGTCGCACCACAAATGACCACTCCATAACCAGTTGAGCAGGGGTCAGAAAAGGGGTCAGCTGAGTAAGATGGAATTGGGAATTTCAAGCAATTCTAGAGAACGATAAAATGCTTACAGTAAAGATGCAGTTTAGAAAAAATAATAGCAACAGTCTAGTAGAAAAATTGGGGTGGGAGTATCCATGTATCTTCAGAGTGCTGAGCGATTAAAAATTCATTGTGTTTTGGCCAGGTGCGGTGGCTCACTCCTGTAATCCCAGCACTTGGGAGTCCAAGGTGGATGGATGACGAGGTCAGGAGATTGAGACCAGCCTGGTCAACATGGTGAAACCCTGTCTCTACTAAAAATACAAAAATTAGCCTGGCATGATGGCGCACACCTGTAGTCTCAGCTACTCAGGAGGCTGAAACAGGAGAATCGCTTGAACCTAGGAGGCGGAGGCTGCAGTGAGCCAAGATCGCGCCACTGCACTCCAGCCTGGGAAACAGCGAGACTCTGACGCAAAAAAAAAAAAAAAATTCACTGTGTTTTTATATAAAGTGAAAAGATGAGAGTAAAATGAACTCTGTGAATTCCTGGAGCATTGCCCCGCACCTGTTTCACTATCAGGAAATGCGCTATTCCTTCCTGGGTTTCCTAGAAAGCTGCTCTTTCCTACGCCAGCGTTCTGACTTTCATTGAAACACTCACAGTAACTGTCTTTCTCAAGGTCCCCTTCTGTTTTTTATTTCAGGGAGGACTCGGCCCTCCAGTGATTTTAGCAAAAGATGTGAGTAATATTTTCTCTGAGCCACCAGACATGTGCTAAGCATGAAAACTTACCTCATCATCATCCATTATATTTTCCTTAGCAAAGTCATACAGCTCCTTCTGGAGTGTCGTCACGTTAAAGAACTGAACTGCTTCCTGTTCAGACACAACAGAGAACAGTTTATATGGCCAAGCTTTTAATCTTAGAACTGGGAGGAGGGAGGAACAGGATATGGGATTTTTTCTAAAGTGATGAAAGTGTTTAAAATTAGATAGCGGTAAAGGTTGCACAACTGTGAATACACTAACAACCACTGAATTATACACTTTAAAAAGGTAAATTCTATCCTACATAAATTATATATCAATTTTTTAAAAAAGAGTGGCCAGTCCTGAGTGGACAATGAATTACTGAAAACCAAAATAGCATATAGAAATCCCAGTGAAAATACAAGTTAAGGGCAAAGATCAATTAGAAAAAATCTTTGGAAACTAATATATAATTAATGGGATTCACTGACAACACAGCTAAGTGCTGAGTTTGCTATCAAGGGAATTAATAGCAATTAATTCCAGGGAACTGTTAAAGAAGAACAATTAAGAAGATATATGGGCCGGGCGCGGTGGCTCAAGCCTGTAATCCCAGCACTTTGGGAGGCCAAGGCGGGTGGATCACGAGGTCAAGAGATCAAGACCATCCTGGTCAACATGGTGAAACCCCATCTCTACTAAAAATACAAAAAATCAGCTGGTCATGGTGGCGTGTGCCTGTAATCCCAGCTACTCAGGAGACTGAGGCAGGAGAATTGCCTGAACCCAGGAAGTGGAAGTTGCGATGAGCCGAGATCCCGCCATTGCACTCCAGCCTGGGTAACAAGAGCAAAACTCTGTCTCAGAAAAAAAAAAAAAAAAAAAAAAAAAGAAGATATATGGGCTGAGAGCAGTGGCTCCCGCCTATAATCCCAGCACTTTGGGAGGCTGAGGTGGGCGGATCACAAGGTCAGGAGTTTGAGACCAGCCTGACCAACATGGCGAAACCCCGTCTCTACTAAATATACAAAAATTAGCCAGTCGTGGTGGTGGGCACCTGTAATCCCAGCAGCTACTCGGGAGGCTGAGGCAGGAGAATCTCTTGAACCCATGTGGTGGAGGTTGCAGTGCGCCAAAATCGTGCCACTGCACTCCAGCCTGGGCAACAGAGCAAGACTCTGTCTCAAAAAAGAAAACAAGAAGATATATGGATGTGACATGGAGAAATATTCATGACAAATTGTTAGAAAGACCAAGAAAGTTGCAAAAAGTTGTAAAACTATGTAAATATGAGCTTTTTATAAAAAATACACAAATACTTACTGTATATATGAGTAAATATATACCTTTAAAGCAGGGGATAAAGAGTAGGTGCAGGCTGGGCGCAGTGGCTCACGCCTGTAATCCCAGCACTTTGAAAGGCTGAGGTGGACAGATCACCTGAGGTCAGGAGTTTGAGACCAGCCTGGCCAATATGGCAAAACCCCATCTCTACTAAAAATACAAAAATTAGCCTGGCGTGGTGATGCACACCTGTAATCCCAGCTATTCGGGAGGCTGAGGCAAGAGAATCGCTTGAATCCGAGAGGTGGAGGTTGCAGTAAGCTGAGATTGTGCCACTGCACTCCAGTCTGGGTGACAGGGCAAGACTCTTGCCCTGTCAAGCAAAAACAAAGAGAAGGTGTAGGATTATAACAGAATTTTGCTTTCCAAGTAACATATTTTTGTATTGTTTGAAATTTGCAGAGTTTTTACAGATTAGGAAATGAAAAGGAAGCGGTAAAATACTAAAACACACACATACGCAAAACTACAGAAAAAAAAATGAGTTTTCCTTTATTTCCAAAATAACCCTTTCTCTCAAGGTACACGGTAGTCTCTGGAAGGCGAGAATGAAGAGAAGAGGGAAGGTGTGGTGCACGGACTTACTGGTCTGGGCTGGAAGTGCTCCTCCGAGAGGCCCCAAGCATCCCTGTGGTACTGGTAATACACCAGGTTCTGCTGCATGACCTTGTCATTCTGATCAAAGAGCAGGTAGCTGACTGCACAGGGGGCTGCATTCTTCAGGTCGTTCACTGGGGTCAGGAAGAAAAGACAAATGAAGAAATCAGCAAACCACGCCCTGTCATTCCTCTCCCCAGATTGGCTTCTAAAGAAAAAGGTCATATGAACAAGCCCATTCTCCACAGTCCTCCTCCAGAGAGCCTGGGGCCGATGGCAGCCCTGGGTGGGCAGCCACAGGCGGGGTCTCCACCGCAGCCTGGAAGCCAGGCTTGAAACTTAGTTCTAGTTAGGCACATGCCTACGGAGAAATGGCTATGTTCTACCTCCAGCTCTGGTGACCCAAGCTGGTCTCAGGTCCCTGGAAGCTGCTGGAAAAAGCTGGACTGTCCTGGGGCTGAGGGAGATAGCAAGGATGCACTCCGCAAACAGGTTTCCCACTTGAGGCCCTCAGCATCTGGGTCCCATCTGGCTGGGACCACAGTCTCCAGACCTAGGTTAGCTCCCCTACGGCTAAACCAGACCTGGAAAACCCAAAGGATGGTGGAGCCTCTGGGCTGGAGGGGTTTGGAAAGTCGCCTGTTTTTGCCAACTCCTGGGGATGGAACTCCCACCTCCAGCCTCTGCGTGGTTTTGCCCACCTATGACAGTACCTTCAGCATAGGGAATTTGCAGGGCTTGGGTTCTGTCTTACGAGTGCAGGGTAAGGAGGGCGAGGTGATGAGACACAAGCCCCAGGTATTTATTCTGGCACATTCCACTCTAATACACACCAAAGTACCTTTGCTAAAACTGCGGTTGGCCAGAGCAGCCAGAGCTTGGGTATGAATACATTGTGCCACCCAGTGGCGGTTTCCTGTAATGACTACTTTAAAGCCAGCCCTTAGGGGCACTCTTCAAATATAAATACCACCACCTGCCCTCAAGCAATGTGGTATGGTAGGCAGTCTAGAAAAAATTCAAAACGGGGCGGAGTTTCAGGAAGCTAATTTCAGGAAGCACATTTCATTCATACTGTTGATCCCGGAAAGCAAAGATTTCCTGGGAAGCAGCAAGCATAGCTAGAGGCCTCAGTCTACCAGTGTTGATAGCCTTTCCCACGGTTTCTGATATGCAGGGCGATTTTCACGGCATGTGAGAATTTCAGAGGGCAGGGGAGCTGCCAGAGCCTGGATGTGTCCAGAACACTTCTAAATTCCCAGTGTTCTAGCTTTGTACATTTAGAACCAAGCCATGCTCAGTAAGCTAGAAGACCTATGGCTTTTTATATTTATATAATACATATTCTTTTTCCTTTTTTGACCTTCAGGATGCAAGGCTTACCCTGTGTCCTGAAGAGGATGGGAGGAAAGATAAAGAGGAAACCCAAGAAAAACCACAATTACCACAGTGGGAAAGGAGGGCTAAGGCCACGATCACCTCTCTCCCTCTTCCCAGGGCACCCTGAGACCAGCCAATCCCAAGTGTGAAGGGGTGACCCAGGCATCTACTCTAGCCAGAAGCCTGCCACCGCTAGACCCTGGCACTTCACTAGAGCAGAAGAGTTCCTGCTGCCACTGTCCCTAATAATTCTCCTGTGCTTGGAACCGAATTGCCACTTAAACAAATGGCCCTTGGCAAAGTCAGGTACAGGAAGAGGAGGAAGAGCCAAAACACACAGGCTCTGAAGTCTAATCCTGAACTCCCTTCTCATTGTCCACTAGAACGTTCTGATTGAGAAACTCCCATTTCAGGTCAAGGGAGGACCAATTAGAATGAAACTAACAGGCCAGGAGCAGTGGCTCACACCTGTAATCCCAGCACTTTGGGAGGCCAAAGTGGGTGGATCGCTTGAGGTCAGGAGTTCAAGACCAGTCTGCCAACATGGTGAAACTACATCTCTACTAAAAATACAAAAAAAAAAAAAAAAAAAAATTAGCCAGGCATGGTGGCACATGCCTGTAATCCCAACTACTCAGGAAGCTGAGGAAGGAGAATCACTTGAACCCAGGAGGCAGAGGTTGCAGTGAGTCAAGATCATGCCACTGCACTCCAGCCTGGGCAACAGAGCAAGATCCTATCTCAAAAAAAAAAAAAAAAGGAAAAAAAAGAAACTTTACAGTCTGAAAAGTAAAGCCAGTGGTGAGGAGGAAGGGAAATAATAACAAAAACAAACACACAGTTTGCTGCGTGCCAGTGCGGGAATACCCCAGACAGTTCACATCTACTAACTCAGTAGTCCCCAAGACAATCTATGAAGTTAGTGGTACAACCTCTACTCACAGACGAGGAAACTAAAGTGCAGAGAAGCTAGCAAGTGACGAGGCTGAAAACGGACCCCAGCAGCACGGCTGCAGGCTCTGCCCTCAATCACTAAGCCAAGCTCCCTTTTTGTGCAAAGCATGGCACCAGGGCTGTCACTGTGACCTCAGTGAACTCTCAGCAGCCACAGCTAAGAGCTAATACCTCTGTTTTACAGTCTTGGAAAAACCAAGTGCCTCACCCAAGATGTCACAGAAGATTACTTACACTTATAATAGGCAAACTGCAAGTAATGGTACATGGTAGCCACAAATTTCTCGACGGGATAGCCTCCTATAACTGGGGTGAGGTTCTCTTCACACTGTATTTTGCATTCCAGAACCTCTATGTAATGATCTGAAACAAAACGTGCAAATTTTCAGAGCAGTGCATCCATTACTTTCTTAATACGCTCCTTCTGCCTCTTGCCCAAATGAAATTGGTAAAAGAAGAATAACTGCAACACTTACGAGGAGCCAAAAATCTTTAATATACAAAATTCCTTCAAATCAATAAGAAAAAGACGAACATCCACTATACAAATGGCCAAACAATATTAACAGAAAAGAAATTATTAAAATGTCTAATAAACAAGGTGAGAGTTGCTACACCTAGGCTGTAATTAAGAAATACAACTACCCCTAAAATAATTTAAACTATTAAATTGGCAAATTTTTTAAAAATTCATCACGTAGTATTAAGAAGAGAACAGTGAAATGCTCTCGAATTCTGTTGGTGGAAGCAAAACAGGAACAAACTTTTTGGAGAACAATTTGGCAAGATTTATCAAAGGTTAAAATATACAGACCTTCCAACCCAGCTGTCTACTTCTAGGAAATTTTCTTTAGACATAGGCAAACATAAGCACTGTTTATAATGACTAATGAACATACTTGGAAGTACCTAAGTGCCAATCGATAGGATGAGGATTAATAAATCCTCGAAGGATGCAGGATAAGCTCTAGATAGTGGCCACATGGACCGCATGGCATAAGTCATGTGTCAGCATAAGTTGTAAACCTGTTGTTTTTAATAAACTGTCTTTGTTCTGCTCCTGAGTTTCATGTAAAAAAGTCAACCTTTGTCTTTGTTCAGTGCTCAGTTTTCAGATGCGAATCCGCTGAGCTGGTGCACCTACATAAAATCCTCCTGTTCCACCCATTGGTCTCACTGGTCTCCTGAATTTCTGCAACATTTTGGTGAGCCAGCCAGGAGCGGAGATGTCTCCTTTGCCTGTGGGCTTGGAACCCTGGGTCAGGTGAGACCCGTGACCCCAGATGCCATCGGGAGAACTTAACCTGGAAGGGTGATCAGCTCTCCCATGACTCAGTGCCCTTCCCCGACAGTGCAACAGAACCTAAGGGGACACAGGACAATTCCAGGACAGCACACTACAGAATTGTGGTGAGATTTAGGGCCCACGGCAGGACCTGTCCCTTAAGGACAGAGGAGGAGCCTATAAATGACCAGGGTGTAGTTAGTACTCCAACCCAGGACGTGAGAGTGGTTCACAAAGTTGGAAGAAACCTACACCCCAACTAGGGGATCTGGGAGTGGGCAAGTGTGTGAAAGAGGAGGTTCCAAGAGGGACCAACATGGGGAGTGATGTGTGGGGGCCGCAGGTCTCTTAGCACACACTGTACACTCCGAGTGAGGTGTGGGACTCACCAGGACTGGGGTGATCCACATACAGCTTAGGGAGAGGCCCCATGATCTAGGTACTGTGGCAGAGGAACCCTCCACTAACACTAAGCGGCATCTGAAAACTTCCAAGAGGAAGACAATCTAATTGCTCTGAAGTGAAAGGACGTGTGTATTGTGCTGTAATTGGGAGGAAAACGGGTGGAAAGTTGTCGAAACCTTCCTCGTTAGACTGAATGTTAAAGAACTTTAAGAAGGGTTATTTGGGGGATTATGGAACCAAGTTGAGCCCCCAGAGGTTGAGGCTGAGAACTCACTGTGAGATAGAGTGGCCCTCTTTTGTTGTCGGATGGCCGGCTGAAGACACTGTAGATAGGGAAACAACTGGCCGTGTACTTAGGGTGGTGACTGGGGTCGGAGAACAGCCAGGGCATCCGGACCAATTCCCTATATTGACTCATGGCCAAATATAGTTCAAACCCGACCTGCGTGGCTGCAGCCCTATTTGGCAGATTACTGCAAAAACACTTGTAGCACGAGCTGAGTCGAAAGAGAAAGAGAATTCAGCCTCACAGTCAGCTGCAAGAGCAAAAGGACACAGGCAGGAAAAGTCAGTTCTGCAGGCACCGCCAGAGGAGAGAGAAGCCCCTCCTCTCTATGCACCAATCTATCCTCCTTTACCAAGGGAGTCAAGTTCAGATGGTGACATGCCCCAGGCTTCACCTAGAAGGGAGGATTCTGAGCCCCTGCCCCAGGAAGTCAGAGAGGAAAGTCAAGATGATCAAGAAGGCCACCTTTGATCTGGACACACCAGAGCTATGCAAATGCCCCTCCAAGAAACTTGGGGACCTATCTGCTATGATGATCAGGGCCAGATCCAAAGGGTTCAACCGACTCTTGTTTACCAGCATTTTTCAACCTCCTGAACTGGAAACACCATACTCCCTCCTACACGGAGGAGACCCAGGCATTCACAGATCTGAAGCAGTCCGTTTCTCAAATACACAATCCAACTTGGCCAGACTACAAGCAGCTTCTCCTAACACCACTTAACAATGAGGAGTGCCGAAGGGTCACTCAGGCAGCCCTTTGCTGGCTAGAGAGCAATGCGCCAGAGGACACTGATAATGTCCAGGCATATGCTCAAAACCAGTTCCCAGAAGCAGACCCACCCTGGGACCCAAATGATGTAACCCAGTTTCAGCGCCTGCAGAGGCACCGAGAGGCGCTCCTGCAAGGGCTGTGAGCGGGCAAAAGAGGGCTATTAACATAAGGAAAATCTCAGAAGTGTTGCAGGAAGTTAGGAAAGTCCCAGTCAGTTCTATGAGAGACTCTGTGACACATTCCGGCTTTACACTCCGTTTGACCCTGAGGCTGCTGAGCATCAGCACATGGTGAACACAGCATTTGTAGGGCGAGCCCAGGGGGACATTAGACAGAAATTACTAAAGCTAGTAGGTTCTACAGGCATGAATGCCCCCAGCTTACAGAGATGGCTACCAAGGTGCACGTTAATCGTGATGAAGAGGCAAAGAGGGAAGCTGATCAGAGGTTTGAAAGACAGGCTGATCTATTAACGGAAGCCTTCATAGAACAACAAGCGGGCATGGCAAGGGGGCGTGGACATGGCAAGGGGGCATGGACATGGGCGCAGACGTGGTCGTCGAAGGGGCCAAGTCGGGCTGAGGCTTGAAAGCCAGCCAAGGCTAGATAAGGATCAGAGTGCATGGTGCAAAAAGAAAAGACGCTGGAAAAATGCATGGCCTGAGGGCAAGGAAGAAAATGGCAGCGACTGTAAGACTGGAAAACTGCCAGTCAGAGGCCATCATGCCCCAAGAGAGTTGGACGCTGGCCAGGCACAGGATGCGGTGCCTCACACCTGTAATCCCAGCACTTTCAAATCAATGAATTGCAGGCAGACCATGAGGCAACTGCTTGTCAGACCTGGAAAGGATGGTCTCCAGACTCCCTTTTTGAGAATCTTACTAATACCACAAACAGAAAAGCCTAAAGTGAGGCCAGGTGTGATGGCTCATGCCTGTAACCCCAGCACTGTGGGAGGCTGAGGCGGGTGGATCACTTGAGGTCAGGAGTTTGAGACCAGCCTGACCAACATATTGAAACCCCATTTCTACTAAAAATGCAAAAATTACCCAGGTGTGGTGGCAGGTGCCTGTAATCCCAGCTACTCAGGAGGCTGAGACAGGAGAATCACTTGAACCCGGGGAGCGGAAGTGACAGTGAGCCAAGACTGTGCCACTGCACCCAGCCTGGGGAACAGAGCAAGGCTCTGTCTCAAAATAATAATAATACGTAAAGTTATCCATTACAACAGTACCTGTGATAGGAAAAGAACAGAACAACCCAAATGTCTATCAGATAGTTGAATAAACTAGAGCACTTCACACTCTCACTCCAACAGAGTACCTGACGACAAATAAAGAATCCCTGTGTACTCATTTGGATGTCATTCGGTGGAAAAAGCAAAGAACAGAAGAGTATATAAAGTATGGTACCCATTCCATACAAAAGGAGCAAACATAAAAACAAGAAAATACATGTTTATATATATACACAAACATAGAAAAAATGATGCAGGCAAGAATTTTCCATAGACACTGAATCAGCAGGGGGTGGGAGGGGAGGGCAGAGCTTGTTGAGCAGCAAGTGGTCAGGGTCTTGCTATGAATAAATCATTTCAAAAGTAAAACCACTAACTGTACTGTGGAAAAACTAAAAACTAGAAAATACCTTAAATGCTGAAAAATTAACATCAACAATAAGGGGGCCAAGAAACATCATACATACCTTGACATGGTATGCTGAGGAGGACATTTATATAGCAGTCCAGCCAAAAACACACAACCTGAATGTAACTGTGAAGACACATCATAGAAACCCAAACTGAGGAATGTTTACAAAGTAATTAGCCTATATTCTTAAAATATATCCTTGGGTTTTTCCAGATTAGAGAATACTAAAGGAAGATGACAAATAAATAGGAACCATGATTCTGAACTAGAAACTGTACCAGGAAAAAAAAACTGGTGCTGGAAAGATTGTGACAATTGACAGCCGGGCGCGGTGGCTCAAGCCTGTAATCCCAGCACTTTGGGAGGCCGAGGCGGGTGGATCACGAGGTCAAGAGATCGAGACCATCCTGGTCAACACGGTGAAACCCCGTCTCTACTAAAAATACAAAAAATTAGCTGGGCATGGTGGTGCGTGCCTGTAATCCCAGCTACTCAGGAGGCTGAGGCAGGAGAATTGCCTGAACCCAGGAGGCGGAGGTTGCGGTGAGCCGAGATCGCGCCATTGCACTCCAGCCTGGGTAACATGAGTGAAACTCCGTCTCAAAAAAAAAAAACAAAAACAAAAAAAAAAGAAAAGACAATTGACAAAATGGGAATATGAACTACAGATTGAATAAAAGGATTGCATCTAGTATATTAAGTTTCCTGAATTTAATCACTGTGGATATTTAGATAATATTGCTGTTCTCAGGAAACAAACCGAAGTGTCATGGGGTAAAGGGTAATAATGCATGCAACCTACTTCCAAATAGTTCCAAAATAAAAATAATTATACACAGCCGGGTACAGTGGCTCACACCTATAACCCCAGCGCTTTGGGAGGGCAAGGCAGGCGAATGACTTGAGGTCAGGAGTTTGGGACCAGCCTGGCCAACACAGCGAAATCCCATCTCTACTAAAAATACAAAAAACTAGCCAAGTATGGTGACGCCTGCCAGCAGTTCCAGCTACTCAAAAGGCTGAGGCAGGAGAATCCCTTGAACTGGGAGGCAGAGGTTGCGGTGAGCTGAGATTGCACCACTGCACTCCAGCCTAGGTGACAGAGCAAAACTCCATCTCAAAAATAAAATAAAATAATAACAATAATTATACACACAGCACATATGGAGAAGGTGATAAACTTGGCACAATCAATGTTACAAATTGGTGAATCTAGGTAAGGTGTACATGAGAGTTCTTTGTACGATTCTTCTGACTTCTCTACAAGTTTGAAATTATTTAAAAATAAAAAGAAACTCTAAATATCTATATATCCATACTGTGAGAGGCAAATCAATCTCAGAACCCGAAAATCACTAAGCCAAAGGGAAATGTCAATCTGGGAACCCCGTAGGGCAAACTTGTTTCCCATCCTATTCCTAAATAAGATAGCTACAAAGGTTAAAAAAAAAAAAAAAAAAGCTACAAATTTCTCTCCCCTCCCCATCCCCCACCCCAGCCCACCGCCGACAGAGTATCGCTCTTTTGCCAGGCGCCAGGCTGGAGTGCAGTGGCACAATCTTGGCTCACTGCAACCTCTGCCTCCTGGCTTCAAGCAATTCTCCTGACTCAGCCTCCCGAGTAGCTGGGACTACAGGCACGTGCCACCACGCCCAGCTAATTTTTGTATTTTAGTAGAGACGGGGCTTCACTATGTTAGCCAGGATGGTCTCAGTCTCTTGACCTCGTGATCCGGTCGCCTCAGCCTCCCAAAGTGCTGGGATTACAGACGTGAGCCATCATGCCCAGCCACAAATTTCTCTTATAATTTACCCATAAGGAAATTTTTGTGGACAAAGGACAGGCAAACCTCAAAGTTATCCCTTTGCTCACATGGGACAAAGGTATATCTGATTGTTTGCTTTGCTCTGTTGTTTCCCTAAGCCAGACTAAAGCGTAAGTGCCTATTCCTGTGAATTTCATATTCAGTGAAAGGCTAATCAGAAACTCAAAAAAAATGCAACCGTTTGTCTCTTACCTACGTATGACCTGGAAACCCCCTCCCCACTTAAGGTTGTCCCGCCTTCTGGACTGAACCAATGTACATCTAACATATATTGATTGATGTCTCATATCTCCCTAAAATGTATAAAACCAAACTGTGCCCTGAGTACCTTGGGCATATGTTGTTAGGACCCCCTGAGGCTGTGTCACGAGTACATTCTTAACCTTGGCAAAATAAACTTCCTAAACTGATTGAGACTTGTCTCAGATACTCTGATTTATAATACATATATCTTAGCTGTATCAAAGACAGACAGAGACAGCAGATGTTATGCGCTTCCTGATGGAAGAACTCAGCATCAGCTATCAAGCAGTCGACTCCCACCAAAAAACCACCCAAAACATAGTCAACTCGAGCCTGTTCAAGCCTCTACATCCAATTACTGATTTACAAGAAATATAGAAGACAGAGGAACATGGGAATACGGTCAGCAAAACCCAGACGCTGGGAATCTCTACAGGACAAAAAATGCAGGTCCTTCAACAGCAAGGGGGAAAAGACACAGCGGAAGAACCTATGGATTAAACGACACTAAAAGATAACCAACTTGCTACAATGTGGATGAAACATGACATTATGCCCAGTGAAATGAGCTAGTCACAAAAAGGCAAATAATGTATGACTCCACTTATATGACGTATCTGGAGTAGTCAAATTCACAAAGACAGAAAGTAGAAAGGTTGTTGCCAGTGGCTGGGGGAAGGGAAATGGGCAGTTACTGCATTTTTACAGAGTTTCAATTTGGGGAAACATAAAAAGTGCTAGAGATGGAGGGTGCTGATGGTTGCACAATCATGTGACTGTCGTCAACGCCACTGGAGTGTACACTGAATGATAGTTAAAATAATAAAGTTCATATTATGCATATTTTACTACAGTACAAATTTTCAAAAGATAACCCATCACAATGGATGGACGTTATTTGGATCCTGATTCAAACAAATGGTAAATTAAAGGCGCACACACGTATTTATGACATTTCTGAAATAATTAGTACACTATTTAGGTATTTAATGATGACATCAAAGAACAACTGTTAAAATTCTACAGGTGTAATAGTTTGTTGATCTGTTTAAAAAACAAGGAGTCCTTACCTTCTAAAGGCACATGCTCAAGTATTACAAATGAAATAATATGGCATCTGGAATTTGCTTCAAAATAACGTGAGAGGGAAAGCAGGTGGGAATTAGATGAAGACAAAGTGGCATGAGTTGCCAATCACGAAGTTAGGTCGTGGGTACATGGCGGTTTATTATACTCTTCTCTCTGTTTTTGTATATGTTTAAAATTTTCCATAATAAAAAGTTTTCTTAGGGCAAAAACAAAACAAAACAAACCCTACTTTGTAGAAAGAGGTTAATGAATAAAAAGCGACTGAAAAAAGACAAAATCGAAAACCCTGGATTCAATAACTTTAAAAGAGCTTCTCTAATCCCAGCACGTTGGAATGCCAAGGCAGGCGGATCACGAGGTCAGGAGATGACACCATCTGGGCTAACAAGATGAAACCCCGTCTCTACTAAAAATATAAAAAATTAGCTGGGTGTAATGGCATGCGCCTGTAATGCTAGCTACTGGGGAGGCTGAGGCATGAAAATCGCTTGAACCCGGGAGGCGGAGGTTGCAGTGAGCCGACATTACGCCACTGCACTCCAGCCTGGGTGACAGGGTGAGACTGTGTCTCAAAAAATAAATAAATAAAAGAGCTTCTCTACTGCAGGATTTCTAAGGGCCTTTAACCATTAAAGTGCACAGTGATTCTTCAAGAGGGAGACGCAGTGCTCAGCCCATTCCCAGGCTTATTTAACAAGTATACAGATACAGGGTACCGTCCAGATTTTACTTATCTCGTCCTTTCTGGGAGGCACAGTTCTAGGATCAGTGTTCTCAAACCGCTTTGGGAAAGAGCCTCCCTTAGCCGTTTCCCAATTTCTGTAAGGACGCTGCCCAGTAGAGGCACTTGGGAAATACCTAGGCACTATGGAGAAATCTGGGCTACTTATGCACAGAGTTTTACATTTTCTTCCTTTCTTTATTTTTCCTTTCTGTGTTTTCCAAACTTCCTAGAATGGGCATACATTCTTTTATAATCCGAGAAGAGATTTAATTTTTAATCAGATTTAAATTTTAATCGGATTTAAATTTTAATCTTTTATAATCAGAGAAGAGATTTTTAATTTCAAAGAGTTGCCTTAGTGATGGCCACTTAAGGGTTCATTCTACCTTTGTCTGTGTTGGAAAATTCCTGTAATCAAAGTTATCTCAGTAGCATGAGTCACTGAGGTGCCCTTGGGCCCGTTTTTATTTTTCAAAATGCCTGTAGGAAATCTGTAAGCAGGTAGGGCAGATACAGAATTCTACCTTGGCAGGCCTGTGCTTGAACCTTCTCTCAGTGATCTCACTAGAAGCCCCTGCCAAGTCAAAGGCTTATCTATGCAGGTGGCGACTACCCCCAGTTACCCATTAATAAATGAGCTCAAAAGTTTCTCAGAGGCCACTCCAGGCATCTAGAAGGCATGCAGGCAGAAAGCAGACATCTAGGGAAGACTATTCCATGGGCGTACCGAGCTTATTGACCCAACACCAACCTGCTATGGAAAGGTAGAAGTCTTTGAAGTCCTTGATCTCCCTGGAACCCTCGCAGGCTGCGACACACTCATAAAAGGCCTTGAAGAAGTCGGGAAGGGCCAGCTCCATGTCTGTGATGGACGTTCTCCAGTTCTCACCATTGTACGCCCGCACTGCTCGGATGAACAGGCTCTGAAAAGCAAGGAGAAGCCAGTGAAGCTTGCTCCTGGACGTGAAGGGAGACATCCATGAACTCTCAAAGGGAATCAAGACCACCAAGCTCGCTCTCATTAGTTCTGAAGAAGCCACACTGACCCTTAGAGAAGCCAATCAGGGAGTTACTTTATATACAGATTTTTCTACCCTGCTGACAATGGGTATGCTTATTTAGTTCAATTCAAAAAGTAGCAGGCACCTGATAATAAAATCAAGTTTGAATCAAGGAAAATGGGAAAACTATGACAGAGATCAGATCAGCAGCTGCCAGGAGTCAGGGGTTACAGGAAAAACTTGCTCAGGGGTGGTGAAAATATTCTACGTTGTGACCGTGGTGGCAGTTACAGGACTGGATGTATTTGTCCAAACTTACTGAATTATACACTTAAAATTGGTAAATACATTGTAAATAAATGATACCTCAACAAAGCTGGTTTTTAAAATGGAATGAAGGAAAAAATATAAGTTTGAGAGCAGGTATATTAGTCTATTCTCACACTGCTATAAAGAAATGCCTTCGTCTGGCCAATATAGCGCAACCCCATCTCTACTAAAAATACAAAAATTAGCCAGGTGTTGGTCACACGCCTGTAGTCCCAGCTACTCAGGAGGCTGAGGCACAAGAATCACTTGAACACAGTAGGCGGAGATGGCAGTGAGCTGAGATCGTGCCACTGCACTCCAGCCTGGGTGACAGAGAAGACTCTGTAAAAAAAAAACAACACTGAGGCTAGGTAATTTATAAATAAAAGATGTTTAACTGATTCATGGTTCTGCAGGCTATACAGGAAGCATACCAGCTTCTGCTTCTGGGGAGGCCTCAGGAAACTTACAATCATGGCAGAAGGCAAATGGGGAGCAGCACTTCACATGGTCAGAGAAGAAAGAAGGGGTAGGGGGAGGTGCTACACACTTTTAAACAACCAGGTCTCACGATAACTCACTCGCTCACCATCATGAGAACAGCACACAGGGGATGGTGCTAAACCATTCATGAAGGATCCACCCCCATGATCCAGTCAGCTCCCACCCGGCCCCACCTCCAACACTGAGGATTACAATTCCACATGAGATTTCGGTGGGGACACAGATCCGATCCACGTCAGCAGGTGTCTGTGACCCCTCTTTCTCCAACAATGCAGGATAAACAGAAGTGCCATGCATCAGCACTAGTTACTAGGAAGGGCAACCATGTGCCAGAGAGTGGAAACCTCAAGGACTTTCTGCTAATTGTCGATCAGACTCATTAGAAGAGAAGTAACTAGGACCAAGGAAGCAGCTTGGTCTCCAAGAAATAAGTAAAGATCCTGGATACACACAAAACCTGCTAACTTGCAGAGGCCAGGACAGGCCCTGAATAAGCATGGGACCCTCCATTTGGAGTTCCTTCTCAGCTGCTCCTGAATGAGGGTATCTGAGAGCCCCCCTTGGACCTAGAATTTTCACCAAGCTTAAGGCCTCAGGTAAAGAGGTTGGATTTTCTTCAACCTCCTGGGCAGGCAGCATCCCCTGGAAATAAGATAGGCTGAGAAATGAAGGAGCCTTTCTGAAGAGCGCATCAATGAGCAGCAACTCCAGGCAGCTGGTTCCACAGAAGCAGCAGGGCGGTGGCAGCAGCAAGAAGGAAGCCAAGCAAGAGAGAGGAGCCCCTGATCACACAGGAGGGCAGCCCGGCCACCGCAGAAGGGCTCCAATGAGTGCCAACAGAACTAGCTGACTTCCAGAAAAGCCCAGGGCACTGACCTCATGCACTCAGCTTCATTCCCCAAACCCTATGAAAACAACAGTGAAGACAACGAAAATGCATAAATTGCTTTTATGGGAGAATGGAACGGGAGCAAGCAGCAGATAAGACTTCAACAACTTTTGGAAAGACAGAAAGCAAAATAGTCACAAAGGAGGGGTCAGAGGGGAAACAAGCTATACGTCCATTGGCATGTGCAGGCGTGAGGGTCCACGGAAGGCTGGGGTTAGGCATGGAACTGGAAGCAGGACTGCAAGTTTGAACAGGCTGTTTGCTGGAGACCTGGGTCCGCTCCCAGGACCCACCCACCCACCCAAGAGATCACATCTCCCAAAGCCACTCTTCACCAGAGACTGATAGTTTGTTCTAGAGACTTTACCCATAAAGGCTGAGGAATCAGGGACCAGACAGCAGAGGCCAAGGTGGAGGCATGACGCTAAAAATCAGGAAGCAGGTGAAGTCTTCTGACTCACCTGGGAGACCCTGTCCCCCTCCCTAGCCTGGCTCTCAGACATCAGCAGATTGTGGGTAAGCCCCCATATAGGCACCAAGGAATGAGAGCTAAGCAGAACCCCCCCAGCACAGTTAGGGCCTGAGGAATATCTCACTTTATAGTGTTACTACTCAGCTATTTCCTTTTATATAATCCTTTACATAATCATATATTAGTTTATAGAAATAGGGCTTGAAGGCTCCCTTTATATAATCCTCTATATATAATCATATAATAGTTGATAGTATGAGTGCCTAAAGAACATTTCCCTACATATATACTTATAATTATATCTTAGTTCAAAATCAGAGAAATGCCTAGAGTGGACACAGTACAGAGCATGAATTAAGGGATAAGTAGCTTATAGTCAGAGGAATGCCTAGAGCAGACAGTGCAGAGCATGATTTAAGGGAAAACAGTTATACCAGGACAAGAATCCATGGCCCAGGCGGCAGCGTTCAGTATCGTAAAGATACCCGCTGTATGGCAGGCTTGGGGCGAGAGCCACTCCTCCTGATAAAGGAGTTGTAGGACCTTGCTGCAGTTCTTGTGGAAGGCTGCCCTCAGAACAGCAACCCACCTTGGTGACTGTGATCTTTATCAGCTCTTGCTACTGTGCTGCTTGAAAAGCATCTTCCCATAGAACCCACTGGAAGCTGCCAGAAAGTGGCAGTAATCTTGACAGCTCTGTCAGTGCTATGTGACTTAAAGCATCCCCCCATAAATCTTCTTAGAAGTAGCTTGCCCATAGATAGAAGTATTGCACATTGTACCCTCTTCACTGCACACAGCCCACCTTCAAGCCTCGGTGACCTAATGGGGGTGGACCCCTTACTGCACACAGCCCTTGCCTTCATGGGAACGGGCCCCTTGCTGTGCACTGTCCACCTCCTGGCCTAGGTGACCTAATGGGTGTGGACCTCATGTTTTATTGCTCACGACCCTATCACTATCCTTAAAGATGATTTCTCTCACTGCCCTACCCCCTAACCTATACATAATAAATACTCACGCTTCTGGACATTCGGGGTCTCGCCTGACTCCACTCATAGGTGGCGTGGCACCCTGAGCCCAGCTGTGTTTTCTTGTACTTCTGTGTCCCGTCTCTTTATTTCTCGGATCCTGCGCCTCAGCACAGCATAAGGCTCACCCTACAACCCTGTGGGGCCCTCAGCCCTACAGCAGATGAGCATGGGCACCCCACCAGCCCTGCAGAGGGCTGGCGGAGTCTTCCCTGGAAAACTGACAGATATCCCCAAAAGAGACTTCCACACACATTTTCCCTACCAGTGAAAAAGTGAGCCTGCGGTCTGAGCGCTCTACAGAAAACCCTGTGGTCAGGCCCTGGGAACTACAGCTCCTAGGGGATATTTTCTACACATCCCCGTTTCCAACAATGCCCCACCCTTACTTGCTACCCAGGCCCCCAGTGCCTGAGTCCCAGAAGGCCTTGACAATCGTGAGTGCTCAAAAGGGTGAGGTCCTTCTTTCTTACTGTTCTTATACCTAATTCTCATCAGATCTTCACTTCGTCGATGCGTAAACTTAAGCATCCTCTACTCTGCACATCAGCCTTCCTTAACTCCTCTTTGTTTTTGACCTTAATATATTTGGGGCATGTTTGTGTGCAGGTACAAAAATATATGCCTCCTTGTTTCATCAAAATTGGAGATTCATGTTTCTGTTTCTTGTGTTCCTGGTCATTTTTAGATGATTTCCAAGATACGGCTTTAATCTACCCTCTTAAAACTAAATGATTAAATGACCATATTTCTAAAATGTAGCATTTAAAGAGAACATGACTTAAAATTATCACAGCATGCAAAATGTCATTCTTAAATGGATCACTTTGTGCTAAAAGTCAATCATTTCTATTGTCATAATATTCAGCACTGTCACCAAAAATCACTCTAGGTCCTTAGCTTGCAGGAGCTGCTCACGGAGAGACATTTCTTTAACAGTCCACATAGCCACTAACTGCCACGTGAAAATCTGCATATACCTCATATGACTTGGTTTCTAGGTCTTTAATGTAGTCCTCGGCACCAGGCAGGCTCTTATAATACGCCATGTTCCTCTTCATCATTTCGTCATCGGGATGCTTCAGTAGGAAGGTGTGAGCAGCTGCGATGGCTTTTGGGAGATTATTTGCCTAAGGACAAAGAACAGAGAAGCTACTCCACGGATGCTGAGTGGTAATTTTTGCGAAACAAGAATATCTGCTCAGTCCTTCAGAAACTTTATGTTGCTGTGATAACCTTTCCAGCTAAAGCTTCTGTGGCTCCCAGGGCCCCTCAAGACCAAGTCTGGCCACCGTCTGGATGGCCTCGGTCTGCCTTCCCAATCTACTCTGCGAGGGCTACGAACTACGCCCTCTGCGTGGGCTACCCCAGGAGGCTGGGCTGTGTGGCCTATGACAACAGACTCCCTCGCCCTGTGGCTTCCAAAGTGGCTCGCCAGTGAGGAGCCCCAGTAGGAGGCTGAGGAAGGGAAGAGAGTAAGGTCTCTTATTTCATCTCCTGGCCCTTCCCTGCACAGTCATCTTGGACTGCTGTGTCCCTTAATTGAAGGTCACAGCTCTTCTCAAGGTGGCCCTCGCCAGAGTCTCCCTCCTTCCAGGTTTCCATCATTGCTCTCTCCCCGGCCCCTCTTGGCCTAGGGGTGGTCATATCCCACTGCTGCCACCCCTGGGGCACGACACTATCCCTCGTGGATTCCCCACGCACAGCACACACCTTTGTATATAACCATCTTCTTCAACGTTCCTCCAATTACCCAGCATTACTGCACCAAATCTCTTCCACTGGAACCTTGACAAATACACTGTTTTCCCAAATCTCCACAGACCTTCTGCTAACATTCTCATGAGCCCACCACCTCCTCATTTATTCATCCATTCACGCAGCAAATTCATGTCCTATTACAAGAGCACCATTTCTAGGATGTGGGTCTATAACAATAAGCAAAACAGGAAAAAAAATCCCTTCCTGCATGGACCGTGTATTCTGTCCAGTTCTCCGTCTCCCAGTGGCTTCTTAAGAGCCTCTCTGTTGTGTTAGTTCTGGGTTCTGTCTTCTCGTGTTTTACGCCACCCCGCAATCTCAGCCAGCATGTCTATTTCCCCCATTGGACCATGATCCTCGGAGGACCCAGCTGTGAGTCATTCATTGTCTGAATTCCTGGTGCCTCACACAGTCCTCAGGACAAGGCAGGACAAGGAAAGTATCTGTGATTTGAACATAATGACCATATAATAAAATTTATTCATATTTTCCTCTCTTTGCCCTTTTCTCTTCTCTCCATTGAAGTGGGGGCCACTTCTGAGTTTCGTTGCCTCAGGGGAGGTAGGTGTCTGGTCAGAACCATCACCTTTTTTCATTTGAAAAAAGCCTGTGGAAGAACTTGGCAGTTTTGAGGAGAGGAAGAAATTGGAGAGGAGCTGAAGGAAGAAGCTGACTGGCCTGGAAGAAGAAGAGGGAGAAAGGGAGTCTCCCAGGCTAGGAAACAAGTTCCCCTTGGGATCTGTGGGAGCGGCAGGCCTGGGGGCCCCGGAGGTTCAGGGCTGGCACTTATCGGCAGTGTCCAAGAGGGCAGAAGTCCTCAGGGAGAACAGGTAATGGGGGGGCCTCAGGTGGGCAGGCAAATAGGAATGCAGAGGCCTCCCTGTGGGGACACATGACCACCAACTAGAGATTCCCCCACACTATGGACTCTTGACACACGTGGTAGGGAGAAGGGCAGGTACCCATGCATGTGCACAGACTCTTTCAGCCAATCCAGAGGGACACTCCGAGGCAGGAATTAGGGGATTTGGTTTAGACAGAGAAAATACCCTAGATTGCTAAGAGTCATTGGAGAGCATGTATCTGTACCAAATTGACCCAGAATAGGAACCAAGTTATTCTGAGACAATGGCAGTGGCCACATCAGAGAAGCATTGGGTGGTGATGAGAACAGACTCCCAGATGTCAATGCTGATGTTTTGGGAATGCCAGTTAGTGGCATTCAAAGGCAGGGCTGCCTTTGAAACAGCCCTACAGAAAGCTTCACACTCCTGGCTGGAAAATGGCTATAGTCTTCAGCCAGAAGGAAGGGAGGGGGTACGAATGTTGCCTTTTAAAGCATTGGCTAGTGAAATTAGAGTTGCTAATTCTTAGCACACTTAGAAAGAGGGGCACAGAGGCCAGGTGTGGTGGCTCACGCCTGTAATCCCAGCACTTCGGGGGGCCGAGGCAGGTAGATCACTTGAGGTCAGGAGTTCAAGACTGGCCTGGCCAACATGGGGTGAAACCTCATCTCTACTAAAAATACAAAAATTAGCTAGGCATGGTGGCGCATGCCTGTAATCCCAGCTACTCAGGAGGCTGAGACACAAGAATCACTTGCACCCAGGAGGCAGAGGTTACAGTAAGCCAAGATTGTGCCACTGCACTCCAGCCTGGGTGACAAAGTGAAGTTGTGTCTCAAAAAAATATATATCATACACACACACACACACACACACACACACACACACACAGACACACACACATAGAAAGATGGTACTTTACTGACTTTTAACTAAGTGTTACAAGACCTGTAAAAGGTTTTGAAGAGAAGCTGTGACCATCCTAACCTTTTGGGGACGCCATGATGAAGGAGAAAAGCCATGCCTTATGGTTACATTGAGTAAAATGTTCTTCCCCTCCTCCCTATATCACTTGTTCAAATTCATTCTGTGTATTAAAGAAATCAGAGTTTCTGGTATTCTCTAGGTTTAAAAATAAAATGTTTTCCTCTTGATTATGTGATTTAAATTTGGTTCAGACCATATTTGCCAAAAGTTATACAAAAAAAGAATTAGATAAGCCATTTTTAGCTTAAAAAATGGTGCTTTGTATGAAACAGCCCTCATTTTCAACATTCTGGAATTTTATTAATCTCATTCCCTACTTCTATTTTAAAACTGTCTTTTTTTAAATTGCCAGAACAAACATTCACAAAATTGATACTTTATGTAAAACTGTAACCAAGTATAGAAATAACCCAGCTTTTCTCCTCTCGTGGAGTTTTGTGTTATTTTATTGCTCATATGAATACAACATTCATGTGGCTCTGTCTCAGTGGAAATATGAAAAACAGATCTTGCAGTCTAGAGACTGAAAACAAAGTTTAAAAACAAAACAAGAAAAGCCTTCTACCTTAAGAATCTGGAATATGCCATGAATCTATTTTCTCAACCAGGGAAAGTAGAAAGTAGAAGGGCTTTGAGAGAGTTCTTTTAGCCAAACCCTGTGAAGTCGCATCAAACCACAGCCTCTTTATCTAGTGACAGGGAATTCAACCCATTCCTAAAACTTGTGGGTCCTCAGAGTAAGAACCCATAGGACAGAAAACTGCAATTTGTGGCTATTTTTAGCCAGCAATCACAGAGAGAACTTAAGCAGCCATTAAAAGGAGGCAGTGAACTGTGTTAAATTCTAGATGACAGAGCGAGACACCGGAGAGGGCCAATCCCCTTTAAGCAGGGACTTGTCCTTGCAAGGAGTCCCTGCCCTTCCTGGCCTCAATTTCATCCTCTTTAAAAGAGACTAGTCGCTGTGCGCAATGGCTCACGCCTGTAATGCAAACACTCCTGAAGGCCGAGGCGGGAGGATCACTTGAGTCTAGGAGTTCGAGATCAGCCTGGGCAACGTGGGGAAACACTGTCTCTTCAAAAAATATTTTAAAAATTAGCCGGGCGTGGTGGCGCACGCCTATAATCCCAGCTACTCAGGAAGCTGAGGTGGAGGATCACCTGAGCCTGAGGAGGTCAAGGCTGCAGTGAGCCATGATCGCGCCTCCGCATTGCAGCCTGGGTGACAGTGATACTCAACAAAAAATAAAAATAAAAGGGACTATTTGGCTTCTCAGGTCTTCTGCTTTATTATCACAAGTCACCACTCACTTAAGAAAAAAGGTGACTTTAATGGTATATACAGAAAAGAGGCGTCTGCCCTCAAATAACAGAACATTTATCAGGCACTTTGTTGGGTGCCTGGCGCTGGGCTGCCTTCTATGTACGTATTCTCTGCCTTAGAGCTATCCTTCAAGACAGGCATTCTCATGTTCCACTAAGATGAAGAAGGAGAGGCAGGATTTGAAGGAGACCTTTGGTGGGGCCGGGTGAGAGGGAGCCAGGTCTAGAACTGTCGGTGCAACGCGGCCCCGGGCGCAGGGGCGGGGCGTGGTCTGGAGGCGGGGGTCAGGGGCGGGGCGGGGTCTGGAGGCGGGGTCAGGGGCGGGGCGGGGTCTGGAGGCGGGGTCAGAGGCGGCACCGGAGGCTAAAGGCGGGGTTAGGGGCGGGGTGAGGCCAGGAGGCAGAGGCGGGGCTGGGGCTGGAGGCGGGGCTGGGGCTGGAGGCGGGGTCGGGGCGGGGGCGGGGCTGAGGCCGGGGCCGGGGCCGGGGCCGGGGCCGGGGCGGGGTGGACTTGCCTTGAAGTAGGCGAACTGCAGGAACTTGTAGGGCTCGCGGCGCTGGAAGTCCGCCAGCACCTCGCGGCTGGGCTGGGACTGGCGGAAGGCTGGTAGGCCCTGCTTGCAGCGCTTGAGGCAGTGCGCGCGGCGCAGCAGGCCCCCGAAGAGGCGCAGCTCGGGATAGGGGGCGAGGCCGGCGGCGGGCTCCGGCCGCTGCGCGGCGCTGCAGTTGCGGTGGCAGAAGGCCTCGCTGTCGCGCAGCAGGCGGTGCAGCCGCAGGCTGATCTCCAGGTAGCCCACGCTCTCGGCCCAGTGCTCGCCGCTGTATTTGTCCAGCGCGTGCCGGTAGGCCGACTCCAGCGGCATCAGCTCGTCCCGTGGGAAGCTGCGGAAGCTGTAGCGCTCGTACTGGGCGCGCCCCGCGCGCAGCGCGCAGCCCACGCACAGCAGCGCCAGCAGCGCCGCGGTTCCCCGGCGCCCTGGCTCCATCGCGCCCCGCGGAAGGAAGGAAAGAAGGAAGGGACGAAGGAAGGGAAAAGGGGAGGGAGAAGGAAAGGAAAGAGGACGGCGTGACGCGGCGGGCCGAAACCTTTCGGGGCGGGACGCCAGCCTCCGTCCCGCCCCGTCCGGCCGCCCCTCCCCACCCTGCCGGGGGATCTGGGCGCCAGCTGCCCGCGCAGAGGGGGTGCCCGGGGAAGGCGCGCGGCGCGCTGGTTCCTGCAGACCGGTGCGTGTGATGGGGCTCTGCCGCTCTTTCACTTGGAGACCGGCCTGCAAGGCCGACGCGGCCCTAAAAGATCGTAGATTAGTGTTACTGAAACTTTATAATTGCCTGGAGGTTTGTGAAAACGCAGATTCCTCTGAATCAGAAAGTCTAGGGTGGAGGTCTGAGGATTTGGCGAGGCTACTGCTGCGGGTCCACTGGCTGCACTTTGAATAGCGCTGCCCAACCTTAGATTTTAGTGATAGAAAAAGACACTGCAAAAATAATAAAGATGTCAGTAGCACTTTGTAAACTGTACAGGTAGTCAGGTGGAAGACTGCACACCTTATGAATCTGCGACTCCATTCTGTGGAATATGCTGGAGAAACTTGCGCGTGTGCATCAAAAAATATGGGCGGAATGTTGGGGCAGCACTTTTCTGAAAGTCTTTAAACTTTTTAATCTTGAAATAATTTACAAGAAAGTTGCAAAAATAGTACAAAAAGCTTCTATATACCCTTCATCAAGATTCACAAGTTGCTGACGTTATACCACGTTTCTATCTTTACGTTTTTTTCTGACTCATTTGAGATAGGTTGCATACATCAGGCCCACGGTCCCTTAGTGGTTTTTGTTTGTTCGTTTTTTGAGACAGAATCATACTCTGTTGCCAACCTCCGCCTCCCGGGTTCAAGCAGTTCTCCCTGCCTCAGCCTCCCAAGTAGCTGGGATCACAGGCATGCGCCACCAAGCCTGGCTAATTTTTCTGGGTTTTTTTTGGGTTTTTTTTTTGTTTTTTTTTTTTTAGTAGAGACGAGGTTTCGCCATATTGGCCAGGCTGGTCTTGAACTCCTGACCTCTGGTGATTCACCTGCCTCGGCCTCCCAAAGGCTGGGATTACATGCATGAGCCACAGCTCCCGGCCTCTTAATCTTTCAGTGTGTGTGTCCTAAGAATGAAACTACCAATCAAATTTAGGAAATTTAATACTGTTAGAAGACTTTAATCATGTTCCATTTCCAGTTTCCTCAGCTGTTCCAATAATGTCTTTTATAGCACTCTTTTCTCTTAGACAGGATGCAGTCCATCCACGATCACTGTTACATCTAGTCTGTTTCCTATCCTGTAATCTAAACTGGTTCGTCAGCTTTTCTTGTTATGCCATTGGCATTTTCGAAAAATATAGGCCAAAGCAGCAATGAGACACCACTACAAAATCCAAACCACTAACAACATCACATGCCGACAAGGATGCGGAGCAACAGGAACTCTGATTCACTGATGGTGGCAATGCAAAGTGGTACATTCACTTTAGAAGACAGTTTGGCAGTTTCTTACAAAACTAAGCATACTCTTCTCATACAACCCAGAAATTGCGCTTCTTAGTATTGACCCAAATGGGTAAAAATTTATGCACAGACCTGCAAATGGATGTTTATAGCAACTTTATTCACAATTACCGTAACTTGGAAGCAACCAAGATGTCCTTCAATAGGGGATACATAAACTGTGGTATATCCACACAATGGAATTTTATTCCAAGGTAAAAAAAAATGAGTTATCAATCCATGAAAAGACATATCTTAAATGCACATTACTACGTTGAAAGAAGACAATCTGAAAAGGCTACATACTGTGTGATTCCAGCTATATGACATTCTGGAAAAGGCAAAACTATGGAGACAGTAAAAGGATCAGTGGTTGCTAGGGATTATGGAAAGGGAGGGATGAATAGGTGGAGGACAGAATATTCTTGGAGCAGTGAAACTATTCTATATGATACTGTAGTGGTGGATACATGCCATACATTTGTTGAAATCCATAATTTGCACAACATTAAGAGTGAGCCCTAATGTGAACTGTGGACTGGGGGTGATAACGATGTGTTGGTGGAGGTTCACTGATTGTAACAAATGTACCATTCTGGTGCAAGATGTTGACAGTGTGGGAACTTGGGCATGTGTAGGGTCATGGAGTATATTTGAACTCTGTCCTTTGCGCTGAGTTTTGCTGTGAATCTAAAACCACTCTAAAAAACAAAAAAAAAATTTTTTTCAAAGAACACAGGCCAGTTACTTTATAAAAGATTCCTCATTTGAGGTTTTCCTGATGTTTCCTCATGATTAGATTGAGATTAAGCTCTTTGGCTAGAATGCCATAGAAGCAATGTGGTATCCGTCTCAGGTATAATGTCTAAATAACACAGTGTGCACCCCTTGTCTGTGTTAACTTTTATCACTTTATTAAGGTCCTGTCTTGTGGGTAACCCCCCGATAGGTACCGAGGAAGGAGAGCTAAGCAGAATCCTGGCATAATTAAGGTCTGAAGAGTATCTCAGTTTGTAGTGTTACTACTCAGTTATTTCCTTCTATATAATCCTTTATATAATCATATATTAGTTTATAGAATTAGGACTTGGAGAATATCTCAGTTTATAGTGTTACTACTCAGTTATTTCCCTTTATATAATCCTCTATATATAATCATATATTAATTCATTGAATGAGTGCCTAAAGAATATCTTACCACTCAGTTATTTCCATATATATATAAGTTCATAATCGGAGGAATGCCTAGAGTAGACACAGAACAGAGCATGAATTAAGGAATAAGCAGCTTATAGTCAGAGGAATGTCTGGAGCAGACACAGTGCAGAGCATGATTTAAGGGAAAACAATTATACCAGGACAAGAACCCATGGCCCCGGTGGCAGCGCTCAGTATCGTAAAGATACCCGCTGCATGGCAGGCCTGGGGCAAGAGCCACTCCTCCTGATAAAGGAGTTGTAGGACCTTGCTCCAGTTCTCATGGAAGGCTGCCCTCAGACCGGCAACCGCACCTTGGTGACTGTGAACTTAATCAGCTCTTGTTACTGTGCTGCTTGAAAAGCATTCCCCTATAGAACTCATTGGAAGCTGCCAGCAGGTGGCGGTAACCCTGACAGCTCTGCACTACTGTGTGACTTAAAGCATCCCCCCATAAATCTTCTTAGAAGTAGTTTAGATACAAGTATTGCACGCTGCACCCTCTTCACTGCACATGGCCCACCTCCATACCTCGGTGACCTAATGGGGGTGGACGCCTTACTTCACATGGCCCTTGCCTTGATGACCTAATGGGAATGACCCCCTTGCTGCGCACTGTCCACCTCCTAGCCTAGGTGACCTAATGGGGGTGGACCCTTTGTTTTATTGCTCACAACCCTATCACTAGCCTTAAAGATGATTTCACTCAGTGCCCTGTCCCCTAACCTATACACAATAAATAAACACGCTTCTGGACATTCGGGGCCTCGCCTGACTCTGCTCATAGGTGGCATGGCCCCTTGAGCCCAGCTGCGTTTTCCTTGTACTTCTGTGTCCTGTCTTTATATCTCGGATCTTGTGCCTCAGCACAACATAAGGGACACCCCAAGACCCTGTGGGGCCTTCAGCCCTACAATGTCTATTGTCCCTACTTCATTTGTTTTCTTCTTTTGTAATTAACAAGTGTCTACAATAGGGTACCACAACATTGTTCTTTTTTTTTTTTTTTTAAAGACGGGGTTTCACCATGTTGGTCAGGCTGGCCTTGAACTCCCGACCTCAGGTGATCCACCCACCTTGGCCTCCAAAGTGCTTGGTTTACAGGTGTGAGCCTCTACGCCCGGCCATCACAACGTTGTTCTTAATGATAGAAAGTAAGAATAACCTGTCCATAAATAGAAGAGTGAATTTTTTAAAAATGAGAGTAAATGCATATAGAAGAATGTTACAGCAGGGAAAATGAAAGAATTAGAGCTACATATAACAGTTCAATCTGGGGATGGGGGGAATAACGGAGAATGATTCCATTTGCCTAAAGTTTTAAAATATGGAAAAGCACACAATGTATTATTTAGGAGTTAAAAATAATATAGTCCTACTTTATACGAACACACAGGGTAAAACTATATTGAAAAGAGAATGATAGGCCGGGTGCAGTGGCTCACGCCTGTAATCCCAACACTTTAGGAGGCCAAGGCAGGTGGATCACTTGATGTCAGGAGTTCGAGACTAGCCTGGCCAACATGGTGAAACCCTGCCTCTACTAAAAATACAAAAAATAAGCCAGGTATGGTGGTGCATGCCTGTAATCCTAGCTACTGGGGAGGTTGAGGCAGGAGAATAGCTTGAACCCAGGAGGCAGAGGGTTGCAGTGAACTGAGATCGCACCGTTGCACTCCTGCCTGGGCGACAGAGCAAGACTGTCTCAAAAAAAAAAAAAGAAAGAAAGAAAGAAAGAAAAGAAAAGTGAATGATAAACGGAAACGGGGTGGTGGTTTCCAGTGAGGTGGGAGGAAGAACATGGAATGGTAGAGGGTCAGATGCAGGGGAGGGGTTGGGAAGTAAATGTGACAATGCTCATTGCATCGCTATTTTTTATACCTTACATATATTTTGTAAATATTATTTTATATGTTTATATTTCGTGTTCTTGTTTTTTTAAAAAACAATTTTTGGAAAAAGAAAAGATTGCAGTAGTGATATGAAGAAAATTAAAAAGCTGAATGAGACGGGGTAGGGAAGATTGGTTAAGGAGGTGGCATTTGGATGGAGACGTGAAGGGGAGGGCGCCTGTGAGAGAGCTGTTCTGGAGATGGTGCGCAGTGTGTGCCTGAACTTGGAACATGTTGTCTGGAAATCCCCAGCGACCATCATTCCCAATAGCAAAGAGATACAATCTGGAAACATCTCACACAATCACTCAATTGTACAAGATACTAAGCTCTGGCCACAGCTTCTTCCTCTGTCTTGCCCTTGCCATACCAACTCTGGCTAAAGGGCCTTTGCCCAGGGCTGTTATTTTAGATGCGGGTGGATCACCTGAGGTCAGGAGTTTGAGACCAGCCTGGCTAACATGGCGAAACCCCATCTCTCCAAAAAAT